CTTTCGCTCCCGCCGGAATTCCCATCTTGCCTTCCTCAAATTCTGAGGTACTCTTTGTCCCCCACTGACTCTTGCCCCTCCAGTGCCCATGGTGAATGGCTGTGGCTGCCTGTGGTGTCCAGGGCCATGCATCTCAACTGCTGATCCTCATGTCTGCCCACTCATATGACACACATGGGACTCTTCAGTAGGGACTACTGACAAGGACTAGTGCTTAAGGCTTTAAGGGGATCACACTGTCCCCGCTCAATCAGGATGGTGTTTCCCAAGGTGGACATAGCTCAAGATACTAAAAGGAATTATGTGAAGAAGAGTGTTCCACGGACAATAAATTCAGGACATACTGTTCCAACATAGTTAAGCAGCTTTGTTTATGACAGGACTTTTCAGCATTTAATATTAGCATTAATATGCTAATGTGCATTATAAATCTCCAATATATGTGTATCCTTTTTTTCAGGGGCATCTTACAGACTTGTGTTTGGAAGTTCATGCCACAGGAAATGTCATCTATAGCCACTAAATGGCAGAAGGAAGGACACCTCAGAGTGTTCAATGTGGGTCAGGTGAGTGCCTGCCTTTCCTTCCAGGCTCCAGGCTGCCGGAAGAGATGGCCTCAAACTCCCAATTCCCAACAAGGAAGCCCGACAGAAGGAGGAACAGAGGGTTTTTGCTGTCCCTGGGCCACCAGTGCAGCCTTGTCGGTCCAGCCCCTCACATTATCAGTCACTCCTGGGGCAGGGTGAGAGCTGCCTGAGGCTAAGTTGGCACAGAAGGACGTGCTGGCATGGGCATTGTTTAATCAGCTTAAAAGAATAAAAAGCTTTTAGCACTTTATTTTTCTAATTACTGAACAAGTACATATTTTTGTTAAAAAAAAAAAATTCAAACAACACCCAAGTGTATACCATACAAAGTGGAAGTTCTCTTTTATCTCCTCACTGCCTGGCTGCATTGGGTCTTCATTGCTGCACGCAGGCTTTCTCTAGTTATAGTATGCGGGCTTCTCACCGCGGTGGCTTCTCTTGTGGAGCACAGGCTCTAGGCGTGAGGGCTTCAGTAGTTGCGGTGCGTGGGCTCAGTAGCTGTGGCTCTCAGGCTCTAGAGCACAGGCGCAGTAGTTGCGGCATGTGGGCTTAGTTGCTCTGCGGCATGTGGGATCTTCCCGGACCAGGGCTCGAACCTGTGTCCCCTGCATTGGCAGGCAGATTCTTAACCACTGCGCCACCAGGGAAGTCCTGCAGATTTCTCATTGAGGTGTGGTGTGCCTGGTTTGGTGGGGGAGAAGGCTGACCCTGAGTCAGAGTGACTGGGATCGAATCCCAGCTCTGCAACATGCTAGCTGTGCATCCTTGGGCACAAGCCTCAGTTTACTCATCTGCAAAATGGAGGGACCAAAATAAGGACCTGGGGGAGTGTTAAGTGAGATGAAACAGAAAGCACTCATCAAAGCCCCTGCACTTAGCTGGATTCAGTTAAATTTGACTCTTAGGATTTTACTTCCAGAATCCAGGCACTTTTTAAAAAAAGTTCAAGTCCATGCAGTCAATGTGCTAATTACAGAATGGGGTCAATCTCTTCCTTCTGTTCATGTGATTTTTTTGAAGTCCTCAAGGGCAGTTTCTATATACAGAAACCACTAATCAGAGGTTCCTTTATTTTTCAAATTAATATTCAAATTATCAAATTTAAAAGATGTCCTCGGGGCTTCCCTGGTGGCGCAGTGCTTAAGAATCTGCCTGACAATGCAGGGGACACAGGTTCCAGCCCTGGTCCGGGAAGATCCCACATGCTGTGGAGCAGCTGAGCCCATGTGCCACAACTACTGAAGCCCGCGTACCTAGAGCCCGCGCTCCGCAACAAGAGAAGTCACCGCAGTGAGAAGCCCATGCACCGCAAGGAAGAGTAGCCCCTGCTCGCCACAACTAGAGAAAGCCTGCGCACAGCAACAAAGACCCAACACAGCCAAAAATAAATAAATAAATTTATTTTTAAAAAAAATTATCAAACTTAAAAATTCAAAAACATTAATTGACTCACTCATCCTATAGTTTAGGTTTTTTTTTTTTTCTTTTTTTTTTTGCAGTACGTGGGCCTCTCACTGTTGTGGCCTCTCCCACTGCGGAGCACAGGCTCCGGTCGCGCAGGCTCAGCAGCCATGGCTCACGGGCCCAGCCACTCCGCGGCATGTGGGATCTTCCCGGACCGGGGCATGAACCCGTGTACCCTGCATCGGCAGGCGGACTCTCAACCACTGCGCCAACAGGGAAGCCCTAGTTTAGGTTATTTTTGATGCTGGGAATTAAAACTTTTCCCAGGACCCTGGCAGGGTGGTTATTGCCTTAGGCAGTGTCATGCTTTTAAGTTCAGCTTATAAAAGTTTTTATTCCTGGGACTTCCCTGGTGGTCCAGGGTAAAGAATCCGCCTTACAATGCAGGGGAGGCGCATTTCAACTAGAGAGCCTGCATGTTGCAAACGACAGAGCCCACGTGCTCTGAAACCTGCGTGCCACAACTACGGAGCCCACGTGCCCTGGAGCCCATGTACTACAACTAGAGAAGAGAAAACCTGCAAGCCACAACTAGAGAGAAGCCCATGTGCCTCAACGAAGAGCCTGCGTGCCGCAACTAAGACCTGACGCAGACAAAAATAAATAAAATAAATAAATAATAAATAAACCTAAGAAAAAAGTGTATATTCCTTTTTTAAGTCCAGTTGGTATTGCCAGATAAAATACAGGATGCCCAATTAAATTTGAATGATCTAAAATTCAAATTGATCTAGTGTTCTGTACTTTTATTTGCTAAATCTGGCAATTCTACATCCAACAAACTTAAATAATTACCCATAAAGGTTATGGACCCATTTACAAACATGTTAAACTTCTTTTATACACCTATTTCCTTGTAAAGTTCTTCAGTTTTCTGAACTAACAAAAAAGCCACCCTTTTTAATACTAAATAATTCTAAGTCTAAAAAAATTAAACTTATAAAACACTGTTAACTCAAAATTCTTATAAATGTTCCAGAACTGTACAGAAACTTAGTAAGGTTTCAACTTAAAGTTACAAATCTAAAAAGATTCCTTCAAGGGCTTCCCTGGTGGCGCAGTGGTTAAGCGTCCGCCTGCCGATGCAGGGGACACGGGTTCGTGCCCTGGTCCGGGAAGATCCTACATGCCGCGGAGCGGCTGGGCCTGTGAGCCATGGCTGCTGAGCCTGCGCATCCGGAGCCTGTGCTCCGCAACGGGAGAGGCCACAGCAGTGAGAGGCCCGCGTACGGCAAAAAAAAAAAAAAAAAAAAAAAAATATATATATATATATAAAAAATAAAATAAAATAAAATAAAAAGATTCCCTCAATTGCACATTTTATGTTGGGATTTCAAGATTGCCAATTTAATAGGTCAAAATCTCTCATATGTTACAAGATCATAAAAACCACATATGTACAAATTCCTTCTTGAAAGATACAAAAAATGTGTACCACACTGACTTCTAAATCTTCCTCTGGTCAGAAGATGCCCACTCGCCAGGGAGGACAGTCACCACCAGCTTTTCACCAGTGATTCAACCAGGCTTAAGGCCTGGGCTGTGGCCAAGAGGGAGATTCACATCTCCATGAGCTCAGGAAGCCATTACTTCCTTTCATGTACTACTTGGGATTATCTCCTGAGAATGCCTGGGTATACTTGGCCACAGACTTCAGCCAGGATGCTGACTGGATGTATGTTGGAGATACTTGCACACTTTTTCCGGTGGCTGTGACCACGTGCCCATCACTTCAGGAGGGGGTAGTCCGGAGATCCCAAAGCTTGGTTTCAAGTTATTCTCATTACCTCCCCTCTTTGCAGAAGAATTTTCCTTGCCAAAGTCTGCAAATCCTACTTGGGTTTATAACTTGATTGGATTTTATCCATATAAAACAAACTTCTTTTGCTTTTCAGAACTTCCTATTTTCCTGCCCAAATCTCTAAAAGCTATTTTACTTGGAAGGAAATCCTACAATTCTTGCAAAACCTTCCTTTCTTGGGGCCACACAACTCTCTCTCATAAACATTAAGTAATACGGGTTGAATCATAGATCTCTCCAGGGGTTTAAGTGCAAGGGTATTAGACCCATCCCAGCAGACAAGCAACTGCTTTTCCTGGCAACACACTGCGAGTACTTGGTATGTTAAACCGTACACAACAAAACTTGCCTTAAAAATTATGTAATTCAAACCAGACTTGGACGTCCCTGGTGGCACAGTGGTTTAGAACCTGCCTGCCAGGGGCTTCCCTGGTGGAGCAGTGCTTAAGAATCCGCCTGCCAATGCAGGGGACATGGGTTCAAGCCCTGGTCTGGGAAGATCCCACATGCCACGGAGCAACTAAGCCCATGTGCCCCAACTACTGAGCCTGTGCTCTAGAGCCTGCGAGCCACAACTACTGAGCCCACGTGCCACAGCTACTGAAGCCTGCGCACCTAGAGCCTGTGCTCTGCAACAAGAGAAGCCACCACAATGAGAAGCCCATGTAACGCAATGAAGAATAGCCCCCCCCGCCGCCCCCCCCCTCGCAGCAACGAAGACGCAATGCAGCCATAAATAAACAAATTAATTAATTAAATTAAATTTAAAAAGAAACAAACCAGACTCTATCTTAATTATGCCCATCAGGGTCATTGGTGAGCTGGAATCTGGGTGTGTCCAGGGATAGCTAGCTGCCAAATCCCAGTGATTGCAGAAAATCTGGCAGAATTTCCCACTGACCCTGCCCCACCCCTTCCCCCTGCAGAAGGCTCCACACCCCAGGTGCCCTCTGGGGTGGACCATTTCCGAGTTCATCAATTTCCATGAGAAGGTACATGGTATGTGACCACAGTAGAGATGTCCAGATGTCACAGCTGGCTTCCAGCTGGGTTAAGAGTGACTTTGCAGAGGCTGGTGCCTAGATTCAACTGACCAGTTTCCTTACCCGAGTGACAAAAACAAGGGATCCCAAAAACTAGCTCATTTCCTTCATTTTCCTGAGGAATGAAACCCATGATTTTCAGTTCCTCAGAGAAGTGAAAACAGCAACAAGGAATCCAGTAATTCCTGTTATCTGCAGACTTAACAAGTCAGCCAAACAAGTCAGCCGAGCCTGAGGCAGTGGCCAGGAGCCTGCTCTCCAGACACTGCTGTCCTCTCTTCAAGCCCTGAAGCCAGGGGAGCCCGGGATGTCTCTGCTGCTGGCCACCCTGCTGCTTCTCCTCTCCACCCACAGCACCCTGGCCCTGAGGATCTGCTCCTTTAATGTGAGGTCCTTTGGGAAATCCAAGAAGGCAAACTGTAATGCCATGGATGTCATTGTGAAGGTGAGCCCCCTTTCCTGTCAGAAGGATAGCTGGACACCCTTCACACTCTCTCTACAGCTTTCAGACTTTAAGAGACTCAGGAGGAATTTAACTGAAGTTAGTCCCTAGGGTGAAGGTAGCGTGTGTGTGTGTGTGTGTGTGTGTGTGTGTGTGTGTGTGTGTGTGTACGTGAGCTTCTTCCTCGTTCTCTCCCCCTCCAGCCATCAACCTTATCCCAACTTCCAATTCTAATCTTTCTCCCCACTTAGATAAGACTTTCCTTGGGTAATCTGACCAATGTCTTGGGACTGTGTTCACATTCCTCTGGAGGCAGTTGACTCGCTTTATTTAGAGGTTAATTTATTTTTGATGCTGGAGTTAAAACCTTTCCCAGGACTCTGGGTTTTATTACCTTAGAAAATCCCAGAGGCACCACATTGTGGTGGGAGCGCCAGGAGCCCTGGGTTCAGCTTCCACCTGGCAGCCAGGTGCGCCGGGCTCCAGAAGGCCTTTCTCCTCCCTGAGCCCCCCACCCCGTGCCTTTCAGCAAGAAAGGGTTATTGTGAAATGTAAATGCAGCACAGGGTTATTGTGAAAATGTAATGAGTCCATGATAAGAGCTAGCATTTATAAAGACTTCGCTAAGCCCACTATATGCCAGGCACTGTAGACGCTTTATATAAGACAACTCATTTAACTTATGTTAAATAAGCTATGATCACACCTGTCATGTCTTCATAAATATTGGCCATCACTTCTTCACCCACAATTCCTTCCTCATAAAGCAATTTTCTTTCTTAGTAACAGCTTAATTTTTTAAAATTATAGAGGTATAATTTTTCAATTATAAACATAATTTACAAATTAATTTTATTAAATTAAAAAGTCATTATGGACTATTTTGAAAATACAGAAACATATAAAGAAGTATCTTATCACTTGAAGACAACAGTTGTTGGTACTTCGGTAACTTTGTTATGGGCATTTTTCTATTTTGCAGCATGGAGACACCCTATATCATCAGTTTTGTATTCTGCTTTTATATGAGAAGTATTTCACATGTTATTCATATTCTTTTAAAACACAACTTTTAATGCCTTATGCTGTGTTTGCAACATGTTTCATTTAATGCTTTCCTATTTGGGGATGCTTAGGCTGTTTCCAATTTTTCTGTTGCAATGCATCTTCCTCTTTGATCTGTGTAAGTAATAATAATAACAATACTTTGTTGTTTGCCTCCTATATGTCTGGCACTGCTCTAAGTATCCATCTGTCCTCCAGCAATCCTGTGAGGGAATGACTATTATGCCAATTTATAGATGAGGAAACTGAGGTGTAGAGAAGTAGTAGATACCTTTTTACAATGGAAAACATTCCTCAAAGTGGGAAAACTAGACCAAAGGATTAATGCATTTTTTAAGGCTTTTGATACATATTCTAAAATGTCTTCCAGAAAGATCTGACAGTGATAAGTGACTAAATCAGCAGGCTGGCTGGATGACCAGCACCCAGCTCTCCTTGGTGAACCCTGCAAGGCTGATGCCATGAAATGCAAGCCTATATATATATTTTTAACATCTTTATTGGAGTATAATTGCTTTACAATGGTGTGTTAGTTTCTGCTGTATAACAAAGTGAATCAGCTATACATGTACATATATCCCCATATCTCCTCCCTCTTGTGTCTCCCTCCCACCCTCCCTATCCTACCCCTCTAGGTGGTCACAAAGCTCTGAGCTGATCTCCCTGTGCTATGCGGCTGCTTCCCACTAGCTATCTATTTTACATTTGGTAGTGTATATATGTCCATGCCACTCTCTCACTTTGTCCCAGCTTCCCCATATCCTCAAGTCCATTCTCTACGTCTGCGTCTTTATTCCTGTCCTGCCCCTAGGTTCTTCATAACCATTTTTTATTTTTAGATTCCATATATGTTAGCACACGGTATTTGTTTTTCTCTTTCTGACTTACTTCACTCTGTATGACAGGCTCTAGGTCCACCCACCTCACTACAAACAACTCAATTTCGTTTCTTTTTATGGCTGAGTAATATTCCATTGTATATATGTGCCACATCTTCTTTATCCATGCATCTGTCAATGGACACTTAGGTTGCTTCCATGTCCTGGCTATTGTAAATAGTGCTGCAGTGAACATTGTGCTATACGACTCTTTTTTTTTTTGGCGGTACGCGGGCCTCTCACTGTTGCGGCCTCCCCCGTTGCGGAGCACAGGCTCCGGACGCGCAGGCTCAGCGGCCATGGCTCACGGGCTCAGCCGCTCTGCGGCATGTGGGATGTTCCCGGACCGGCGCACGAACCCCCGCGCCCCCTGCATCGGCAGGCGGACTCTCAATCACTGCGCTACCAGGGAAGCCCTATATGACACTTTTTGAATTATGGCTTTCTCAGGGTATATAATGCAAGCCTACTGATGGAAGGATCCAGACTTGGACATAGTCTTCCTCCTCTGTCGCTACACAGGTGCATTCTCAGCCCCCAGCACTTCTTAATGGCTGCACAGGCCAGTGCTGGTGGCTCTCTCTTCTATGCCCTTCTTGGAGAGGAAACTGGAACATACATGTGCTCTGGAAACAGGACCAGTGGCATATTCCCCCCGCTCCATGTCTTTGGAGAGGACGAAATTAACGCTGGGGATACCCTGTCCTTCAGCAACAAATTCCAGCCCACCACGACCCCATACACACAAAGGTCCCTGTCGTCTCTAATGGGCTTCGACTTGGTCTGCACCCTGGTTTCCAGGTTATTGCTCGTCCTGAAGGAGCCTCTCCTGCATTTTTACTAAGTTCTTCCTCACCTCTCAGGGCCTGTTCAAATGCCTCCTCCTCATTGGAGACTTTCCTGATCCTCTGGGCAGATGCAATTAATTATTCCTCAACATTCTCACAGCTCTGACTTTTATTTAGCACAACTTTCATTTGCCTCTCATTGTAGCTAGTTCTTTGCATTTGTCACTCTCACTGATAATGAGTCTTTGAGGGCGGAACTGTATTTTAATAGTTTAGCATGCTGGGCTTTGCGGTCATGTTAACCTGAGTTCAAATCCTATTCTACCACCTATATCAGCTGTGTGACTTTAAACTAGTTACTCAATCACGCTGAGCTTTGTTACCTCCTATGCTTAATGAGCTAAAAATCTGATAGGGTTGATGAGGCTCAGAGTAGGCTCACAGTAAATGTTATCTCTTACAGTTATTAACATTATAATTATACCTCTTTATTTCTGTAGTATCCAGCCTGGTATTCTTCACCTACTAAGGGTTTAATAAATATTTACTATTATTATTATTGTAATTATTCAAGCAAAGCCAAGAGGTAGGACGTGCAGGGGTCATGACCCTGGGCTCTGGACTTGGGTTGCCTAGGTTCACATTCTGCCTCAGCCACTTTCTAGCTGGGTGACTTTGGATACTATCTCAGCTTTCCCAGAAAGAACCTCAGGCTCTTTGTCTTTAAAATGGACATGATAATAGTACTTACCTCAGGGAGTCCATCATTTATTTCAGAGAAGTTAGTTAATTTAACAAAGCACCCAGTTTGATACTTAAAACATAGTGCCTAACAATAAAAAAACAAACAACCCAATCGAAAAATGGGCAGAAGACCTAAGTAGACATTTCTCCAAAAAAGACGTAGAGATGGCCAATAGGCACATGAAAAGATGCTCAACATCGCTAATTATTAGAGAAATGCAAATCAAAACTACAATAAGGTATGACCTCACACCAGTCAGAATGACCGTCACTAAAAAGTTTACAAATAACAAATGCTAGAGAGGGTGTGGAGAAAAGGGAACCCTCCTACACTGTTGTGGGAATGTAAATTGGTGCAGCCACTGTAGAAAACAGTACGGTAGTTCCTCAGAAAAGTAAAACTAGAATTACCATATGATCCAGCAATCCCACTCCTGGGCATATATCCAGACAAAACTATCATTCAAAAAGATACACGCACCCCTATGTTCATAGCCGCACTATTCACAATAGCCAGGACATGGAAACACCCTAAACATCCATCAACATATGAATGGATAAAGAAGATGTGGTATTGAATACATATACACAATGGAATACCACTCAGCCATAAAAAAGAATGAAATAATGCCATTTGCTGTAACATGGGTGTAACTAGAGAGTATCATATGAAGTGAAGTAAGTCAGAAAGAGAAAGACAAATACCATGTGATATCACTTATATGTGGAATCTAAAATATGACAAAAATGAACCTACCTATGAAGCAGAAACAGACTTACATACATAAAAAACAGACTTGTGGTTGCCAAGGGGGAGAGGGGAGGGGAGAAATGAGTGGGAGTTTGAGGTTAGTAGATGCAGACTATTACATATAGAATGGATGGACAACAAGGTCCTACTGTATAGCACAGGGGACTATAGTCAATGTCCTGGGACAAAGCGTAATGGAAAAGAATATTAAAAAGAAAGTCTAAAAAAAAGAACGTATATATATGTATAATTGTATATATACAATTATACATATATATATATAATTGTATATATATATATATAATTGTATATATATATGTATAATATATGAGTCACTTTGCTGTACAGCAGAAATTAACACAACATTGTAAATCAACTATACTTCAATTAAAAAAAAATAGTAACATAGTATGTTATGTTATAGTAAGTGCCCAATAGAAGATTTCATTATTTGTAGTAAATGGCCTCACAACCCTGGGAATTCTCTCTCTGCAGGTCATCAAACGCTGTGACATCATACTCCTGATGGAAATCAAGGACAGCAACAACATAATCTGTCCCACACTGCTGGAGAGACTGAACGGGTAAAGACAGGGCCCCTGGACACTGTCGGCTCAAAGCCAGGTGCAAGGGCATCTGAAAGTCCCTGGGAACTGAAACTAGCGTGAGAGCCAGCACTGGCCCAGACCACCAGGTCACGTGGCCAACACTGCCCAGGCTTTCAACTTTATTAACCGTGGTCCTGAGAACGTTCAACCAGCTAGTGTTTTTTTTTGTTTTTGCGGTACGCGGGCCTCTCACTGCTGTGGCCTCTCCCGTTGCGGAGCACAGGCTCCGGACGCACAGGCTCCGGACGCGCAGGCTCAGCGGCCATGGCTCACTGGCCCAGCCACCCCGCGGCATGTGGGATCCTCCCGGACCGGGGCACGAACCCGCGTCCCCCGCATCGGCAGGCGGACGCCCAACCACTGTGCCACCAGGGAAGCCCCAACCAGCTAGTTTTAACATGATAAAGCAAAAGAGGGAAACGGGTGGAGGAGTCAGGACCGAGAGAAATGAAAGAAACAGACTAGAGGCTGAGCTGAGAAGTATTGTTACAAAGAAAAGCTTGAGCGCAAATATGTAATCATGATATACCCACAGGCTGGAATATCATGTAGCGATCAAAAGTCATGGTTACCACAGAATAGGTTAGAGCTAAATATTCTAGCATGGAAAGATGGCTACCATATATGGGAAAAAGCAAGCTCAGAATTGTAGGTAGAAGAGCCCGTTTTAGTAGTCACACTACATCATATATGAACGAGGGTGTGCTTGAGTTTGCGTCAGCATAAAAGAAAGGCAGGAAGGATGTGCTCAAGCTGTTGTTAGTGGTTACTTCTGGGGCGGTGGTGGGTACGACTGGAGGACCATTGTGGAAGGGGTGTGAGAAGAAAATGGGGAACATTTGCTTTTTATTTTATATACTTCTGTATGATTTGAATATTTGACAAAAATTCTGAATTGACTCTATAAATTAAAATTTTATAAATGAATGTCCTCGAATAGCTTTCAATGATATTGGGTTATAGTTATGATTTATTTCTCAAAGAATAATCACCCCAGAGTGAGTTAAAAATGCATATTCAAGGGCCCCCGTCTATTACTTCTGAGACACACTAATTTCTTAAAACTTCTAATATAATGTTTCTTTTGTAGATATAAGATTAAACAATAGAGTATACAATAGGTACCAAGTTCAATTCTGTAAAAAAGCAAAACAAAATAAAAAACATATAAAAGATTCAAAGGCAATGAACCAAAATGTGGACAGTGGTACAAATTTACAAGGAATTTAATGTGATTTCTGCTTCTATGTATTTTCCGAATTTTCTACAATGAGCATGTTACACTCCCTCTTCCCTTTTCTTATGATATAATTTAAACATAGTTAAAAGCACAGAGGAGATAACAAACAGCTATGTATCCCCCCATTCAGATTGAAAAAACAGTGATATCTGGCCATTATTATACTATTTTTATAATTAGGAAAACTCACATTGTGTTTTAGAAATGAATGGTCAATCCAGCCTCATTAGGCTGGGGAGGAAGAGCCTTGGATTCTCTCCTTCACACACAGGGCTCTTTGGACTGACCGCACCCACCCACTCTGGGCCTCAGTTTCTCATCTGAAACCTCAGACTTGGAGCAGTGTGTCTCCCTTTTAGCCTCCCAGGTCTTCTGTTTCTGAGTCTGCTCTTGACAATGACAGAGGGAGTGTAGCCCAGGGGTTAGGCACCTACGCTCAGCTCAGACCACCTGGGTTTGGATTCTGGCTTTGCCACAAAGGGCAAGTTACTGAACCTCACTGTACCTCATTTTCCCCATCTGTAAATGGAGATAATAATAAAACCCACCATCTTCCTGGGATGTGGCGATAATTAAATTTAATCATCCATGTAAGTGGTTGAGCTGTGCCTGGTATGGAGCAGTGGCGACTAAACATTGGGATGTTCACTACTCGTCAAAGTAAGGGAATTGTGATGGCAAGTGACGGTCCAGAGGGCCGTAAGAAACAGCTACCGTTAACACCCTAACCAGGGTATCACAGTTGCCAGGCATCCTGTTAATCAATTTACATGTGCTATTTCATTTCCTCCCCACAACAACCTGTAGAGTAGGTACTGTTACTGCTTCCCTTATAGCTGAGGGGCTGAGGCACAGAGAGCAGGGACCTGCTCAAGGTCACCCAGCCAGTAAATGGCCAAACCTACTTTTGAACCTGGGTCGTGTCTGTCTCCAAGGCCAATGCTCTATTCTGAGCCCCCTCAGCCGTCCTTGGAGTGGCCCTGGCCAGTTTTCAGAATTATGAGGGATGGAGGGGATGGGGGCTCCAGGCACCTGCCCGCAGTTGGTCTGGATTAAGTCCTGCCACCTCCAGTGGTCTCGGTTCTCCCCAACCTCCCTAGACTGTGCCATGGACTCCAGGCAGAGCCAGGCCTGTTTGTCTCCTAATTCCCTGTAAGCCAGGAGGGGCCCTTCTCCTTTCACAGCTGAGTCACTGCGAGTAGTTTGCCAACCCAGGACTCGGCAAGGCTAGATTCAGGACAGGGCCAGCCTTCCCAAACTGGAAGCCCAGCAGAATCCACTGTCTGCACTCCTGGGGCTCCCATGACCAGATCTGCCTTAGAATATTCATTCCCAGGAATTTCTGTAGGGTCTAAGTTGACCCCTAAACATTCTCCTTTTTTCCAATGGAACCTGAGAGTACGCCACAGCTTAGACATGCCCCAGATCTTCTCGTGGGAAGATGAAGTAGAACCGCGTCAGGCTCTGCCCAGGGTGGAGTTATCAGCAAGTTTGGCAAACACATCTGAGAGTCAAGCTTCCCTGATAAGGGTGAGGGGTAGGATCAATGGGACTTCATGACAATATCCTCAGCCCCCAGGACAGAAACAATAGCTGATTTGGAATCATAGTTCCAGGACTTGTGAGAAAATGCCTGGGGGGTTTTCAGAGCAGAAGAGAATGTCCAAAAAAATGTTACTGGGAATCCTGCATGTGATAAATGCTCAGGAGTGGTGCATGGACAGGGTGACCTAGTGAGGTATACTCCACCAGGAAGTATGAGGTGCAGCCCAGCCATGGGCCAGAACAGTGTTTCATGGTCTCAGTGGTGTCCCACAGGTACAGGCCAAAGCAGGTGGATTTGGGGGTGAGTAGGATCTGAGTCCAAATCCCAGCTTTGTACTTGCAAATTATAAAAATGGAGTAACAATAGTACCCACCTTATAAGGACAAGAAATAATGGCTGTAAAGATCCTGGTAGATGTTACAGTCCCAGTCAATGGTGGTGGTCCTTCTTATGAGACTCAAAGCTTATGATGAACAGAAGCCCTCCTACATGATGTCACGGGAGATACAGAGGCAGACCGGAAGGAGGGGAACCTAGGCAGTAGAGAAATGTTTGTTCTTTAAGATGAAATGTAAACTCTTTTTTGTCTTCCAGAAACTCAAGAAGAGGCAAAACATATAACTATGTGATTAGCTCTCGTCTTGGAAGAAACACATACAAAGAACAGTATGCCTTTCTCTATAAGTAAGTATAAATTATGCTTGCTGGAACATGGTCCACTTATCAATTATGACTGTGAATAGAATCAAAATCTTTCCTTTAAAACCAAATTTGGATCTCTAACCAGTTTTCAATATTGATCAAAATAATTGCTGTCAAAATCAGGGCTGATGCAAAGTATTAACTCTTCAAAACTAATCTACTGGTTGACTCAGTGACCTGGTCAGGAGAGTGAAGAGTTCTTTTTTCTTCATGGCTAAGTCCTGGCTGGTGATGGAAACCTGAGTTGCCCAGCATGGCTGCTCTGGGACTTAATATTCTCATCTTCTTCCTACTAATAATTTGTTTTGAATCTGACCTTTAAGTTGTGAGTTCCCTAGATAACTAGTATTGCTCAGATCTTCAGCTCCCAAAGGGCTCTGGTCCTTGAGAAGACTCGACTGAGCCTTGTTCTCAGGCAAAAGATCCCTTCCAGCGCTCAAGCCTGCAGGGGAGGCCAACAGAGCTGTGAGAACCTACGTCTCTGCTTCTTGAAAGAAGGAAGAAGACAACCAACTCATCTGGGAGGACTTTCTTTTTTTTTTTCTTCTAGGGAAAAGCTAGTGTCTGTGAAAGCAAGCTACCTCTACCATGACTACCAGGCTGGCGATGCAGATGTATTTTCCAGGGAACCCTTTGTGGTCTGGTTCCAGTCACCCCACACCGGTGAGACCCACAGGCCCCTCTCACCCCTGATATCCCCAGCGATCCCATAAACGGGCAGCAGTCCTGAGTGTGGGCTGTGATCCCAGGGTTTATGCAGCACCTTTAGTAAGGCATCAGGCTTGAGATGACCGTTAAGAACTTCTAACCCTTGAATGTAGAGGATGCAGTATAGTTTGATGACACTAGGCTGGGTTCTCAGAATGCCACGACTCAAGACTTCCTCAGCTAAGAAGCCACTTTCTTAAATCAATGATAACCTTACTCTCTTTGGAGCATTTAGGCTGATGGAAATTATTTACAAAAATCCCTTAGTCCCAATCAAGTACAGCTATTCCTTCATTTGAAAAATTCGAGCAATGGCCAGCAAAGATGATCTCCCAACCTAGAATCACACTGTCCCTCCAGTACCCACTGAGCAATCTCCCGCACAGACTGGGGATGGAGAGGAAATCCAAAAGATTGCACCCTGATCTCTGACAACAATAGTACTTGTATTAGTCACTAACAATTATTGATCCCTGATTAGCGTCAGGTTCCTGTAATCTTTGCAACACCCTGCAAGGTAGCAACTAGGATTATCTCCACTTTACACTGGAAGAGACTGAGGTTCAAATAGATGGGGTCACTTATTCAAGGTCACCCAGCAGTTATTGAAGTGGACGAGCCAGGGTTGCAACTCAAACTGGCATCTCGGGAGCCCACACTTTTTACCACCATGCAACCCTCAATGGACGGTCAAAAATTAATTTGGTTTATAGACTGGAACTATATAGAATCAAATATTTTTCAACACCCACTACATGTCAGGCTCTGTTCTGGGCACTGGACAAGACAGACGAAAGGTCCCTGCCCTTGTGAAGTTATGTTGCAGCGAGGGAGACAGATAATGACCAAATAAATATATGCAGAGCTGTACATATGAACACCTATATCTATACTACACAAATATTAACATCTTGAACTATGAAGTTCACTATTTTGGCAGAGGGTTAATTAGCTCAGGGGCAGAGTATTTCAGGAAAACAAACATGGGAGAATAGTAGGAAATTCTCAGTAGGAAAACAAAAAACAAAAAAAAATGAGGAGATGGGGGCTATTGAGGGCAAGAAATGCCTTTCAGAGAGCATGTTCAATAATTGTCTTTGTCATGTACACAACTCACACTTAGCTCACCTGGCAGTGTTAGGAGAGGCCCTCCCCACCAAATCATTATTTCTTCTCTGAGAGAGTCCTCAGCCTTTGTGAACTGCTGAACAAACCTGTTTGTCTGGAGCTTCCACCCTTCCCTACCCCTCCCTCCCACCTCGGCTGGGATGGCACTACAGCTGTGTCATGTTTGGAGTCTTCTATCTTGCCCAAGGAAATGTCTTTATGTCCTGCCTGTTTGGGATTAAAGATGAAGGAGTTGGCCATTCATCTATCTTTTCTTTCCTCCATTTATTCTCTCATTCATTCATTCATGTATTCAATCAACAAACATTTCTGAGCACTTCCAATGTGCCGGGCACGGTGCTAGGTGCTGGAGCCAAGAGGGTGAACAAGACAGATAAGCCTGCTCTCACAGAGTTTAGGTTCCAGTGGGCCAAACTAAGGAGCTAAGCAGGTAATTTCAGAGCATGAAGGCAGTAAGCAGGGTTCACTGAATAGCAGGGTGAGGGGCCACCTTAGACAGGGCAATCAGGGATGGCCCCTTGGAGGTGACAGTGGCTGTGACCCGAAGAAGCCAGTCACAGAGAGGTGGTGGAAAGGCATTCTGGAGGGAGGAGGGCACAGTGAGCATACAAGCTCAGAGGTGGGAAAGGAGCTGGGGTGTTTAGGGGACCAAAAAGAGGTTGGGGAGTGGAGAGGAGGAGTGTGGGGGAGAGTGAGAGACAGGCTGCTGGACCAGGGTGTGGTCCTGGAGACAGGCTGCCGGTCTGAGTCCCGGCTCCCTGCTGTGGGACTTGAGCAGTGATCACTCAACAGCCCCCTGCTCCTGAGTAGGAGTGAGGACCCAGGCACAGAACAAGGGAAAGCCCGAGGAGGAGGTATTCAGAACGACACAGATGGGCAAGACGCCCACCCCTCTCTCAGGCTCCCTCAGTCCCTCCTGGTGGGCGAGGTTTTCAGACACTCCACAAAGGACCACTTTATGTTTTAAATAAACTTTTCCAGGCTTTTTTTTTTTTTTTTTCTGATTACAAAAGGAGTGTAAACTGACAAGCCTCAATTTTTTTAATTAGAAAAAACATTTTTTTCTTAGTACAAAGCCAAACAGCCTTCATATTTTAAAAAAATAGAAAATACCGGGTTTTTTAAAATGAGAAAATAAAAACACCCACAATGCCGGTGAGGAACACTGTCTACCAGCTTTCTCTTAGCCACGCAGGGCGAGTTGGAGAAAAGAGGCTTTCGTGTGCTGAGAAGAGCGGCCTTATGACCCTAAGATCATTCAAATCTCAACCACTGGACCCTCTGGAAATGGGGGGCCCCAGATGACACAGTCCGTGCCTTTTGGGGGCACAGCCTGTTTCCCTCAAGCAGTGTTCGTGGAATCTCGCCAGAGGAAACGTGTGACCTCTGCCTCTTTCCTCTTCCTCAGCTGTCAAGGACTTCGTGATTGTTCCCCTGCACACCACCCCTGAGACATCCGTTAAAGAGATTGACGAGCTGGCTGATGTCTATATGGATGTGAAACGTCGCTGGAAGGCGGAGGTGATGACCCTCTGTGTCTGCTGAATGCCCATCTAGCAGGGGCAGAATCTGGTCCCTGAGAGGCATGAGTGGCTCTGAGGGAGGGCAAGGACGCAGGGCCTGTGCAGACCACCGCCACTTTAGAGTCTCATTTTAGGCCTTTCCTCAGCCCTAAATATCTCTCTGTTGAATCTGCCTGGGTACCATCCACGGGGGCCTTGGGAATTCATACACTGCTCCACTAATAATGGCTGCCAACATTCACTGAGCGAATGAGTACCTGGTGCCGGGCACTGTGCTAAGGCTGGACATGGACAAGTTTATTTAATCCTCCCAATAGCCTGAGGAGATAACTATTTTGATCATTCCCACTTCACCAGTGAGAACAGTAAGACAAAGAGAGGTCAGGAGTCTTTCAGCTACAAGTGACAGAATCTCAAAATGGCTCATGAAAAGGAAGAGCAATTTATTGGTTCAGGCATAGATGGACACAGGGCTCAGACAAGGTAATCAGAACTTGTCTTGTCTCTCTCTCCATCTCTTGACCTTCCTTTCCCCTGGGTGGGCTCCATTCTCAGGCTGGCTCCACCCTTGGGATGGTAAGATAGCTGCCAGCAGCTTCCAGAGCAACTGACAAATGTTCTGCCCCCACAATGCAAAAATACCCTGGGATTGAGTCTCATTGGCTATGATTGTGTCACATGTCCGTCCGTGAACCAATCACTGTGATCAGGTGGTTGAGATGCTCTGATTGGTTAAGTCTGTTTCAGCTTTACCCCAACCTCATGGACTAAGGTGGAGGAGGGAGATGGTTTCCCAAAGAAATTAGGGGTGCTATTCTCACAGAAGGGGAATACATCCACCATCCCTCTTGGTTTCAATTATTTCCTCATGTGGACAACAGGGATGCCACCTCCTGTGTCTGCGAGGCCTATGAAAGCTCTTGGCAAATATGGAAGTGCTTCAGAGGGCTCTTCCTCATTCCTCTTTTCTCCTTTTGAGATATGACTGCAGTGACCCCCTTCCTCCTCCTCAGTTTTGCTGCTCTAAGTGCAAAATCAGTCAAATAAAGTGTGGACACAGAGCTGGGGCATGGCGCACCCAAGGGGTATATTTCGTTACTTATTTGTAAAAAGCAGGGCAAGAGAAAGACTCATTTGTTCCTAAAATTATAAATTCCACTCATTCATTCAGCAAGAATTTATTGAGCATCTGTTAAGTGCCAGGCAGTGGGGAGCCATCAGTGGCACAAAAATGAAGAAGAGGGGAAACTCTTGTGCTCTGAGGGAGGGGCCTTCAGTGAGGCTCATCAGGGTTCAATAGCCTACAGTGGGTCACTTTACCCCTCTATCCTTTTTCCACAGGGCTGTCAAAGGTTCCTTCTACCTCCTGGTGTTTATTCTAAGATTTAAATTAAACTTTAGAAAATGCTTAACGCTGAGCCTGGTACACAGTGAATGCTCAATAAATCATGCCTATATTAATAGAAGCTGGTTGACACTCTGGTTAAGGATGACATCCTGTCCTCAACTGCGCCCACCGACCTCAGGGAAAACCATGATACCCAAGGTCAAAATAAAATGTTTTTGACGAAAACTCTAAAGTTAGCAACAGCGCCAAACAATAGCACAAACAAGGAAATCTGTGTTTCCTCTTGAGGAATATTAAAATTCTGTTTCAAGAGCCCTGCAAGGAAAAACACTTCCAAGATAGAATGCTCTGATGGTGGCCTCGGGGCAGAGGCGGACAGCTCATTCTATCACCCCCCCCCACCCCCCACTCAGGCCTCTTCTCACTTCGCCAATAGGCAAAATTTCCACAGGAGTAAGTTCCTAGTTTCAAAAGAGGAGAGAAAGAGCAGTGCCAGAGCTGTCAAATATACCACCCGAGTTCATTTTCCCTGCTTGCAAACAAAAGGCATCAAGTCATTCATATGTTTATACCTTACAGTAGTTTAAGCCAGAGACAAAAGAAGTGAGGGAATAACTGAGCTGGATTCTTCCACCCCCACCTAAATCTGCACCCCAAATTCGAGAGATTTGGTGACTAAGAACAGGAGGGAGCAGCTACAGCAAACAACCTTCTTCCCACCGAGGACACACTCCCTTGTCATACTCGCCTGTCAAATACTCATCAGAACTGTGACTCAATTTTAAACTGTGGCCTCTTCTTTTAAAAAGCAAAATGAAATTAAGACCCTTTATTATTTTGCTAGGGCTGCCGTAACAAAGTACCAAAGACTGGGTGGCTTAAACAACAGAAATTTATATCCTCACAGTTCTGGAAGGCTGGATGTCCAAGACCAAAGCGGCAACAGGGTTTGGTTCTTCTGAGGCCTCTCTCCTTGGTCTTCCCTCTGTGTCTATGTCCTAATCTCTTTTTATGAGGACACGAGTCACATCAGATTAGGGTCCACCCATATAACCTCATTTCACCTGAATTAGCTCTTTAAAGGTCACCTACAAATACAGTCACATTCTTAGGTACTGGGGGTTAGAACATATGAATTTTATGCATCTGGGGGGACACAATTCAGCTGATAATAGAACTCGTCGTTTATTGGGTGTGCGAGATGGAGTCATTGCTATCAGTTCTGCCTGAAAGCATTCGACAACAATGCCTACAGGTGACAGTTTCGCATCTTGTCTTTCAGAATTTCATTTTCATGGGTGACTTCAATGCCGGCTGCAGCTACGTCCCCAAGAAGGCCTGGAAGAACATCCGCCTGAGGACCGACCCCAAGTTCATTTGGCTGATCAGGGACCAAGAGGATACCACGATCAAGAAGAGCACAAACTGTGCCTATGACAGGTAGGAGGTATCTGCCAGACCATCGCTAGCCCACACAGTGCTCGGTGGCCCCCTCTGGGCAGATGAAACTCTTGGCTTGGAGAGCTGAACCTAAATAGACTTTAAGCTTCTCCACTGGGTACTTTGTGCAGTATGCAACCTGCGTGGCCATATATGGTGGCCTTGGTCACTGTAGCTTAGCAGGCTTTGCTGTCAGACGGGCCTGGGTTCAAATCCTGGCTCTACCACTTAATATGTCTGGGACCAAGAGACTTAAGCTCTCTGTGTCTTAGTTCCCTTACCCGTAAAATGGAGATTGTAGTAGTGCCTCACTCATACATGAAGACTAAACAAAGTAACATATATAAACCTTCACATGCAATGTCTGGAATATGGTAAATGCTCAATATATTCATTGGCTGTCAATTATTCCATCACAAAGACATACCACAGTTTACTCACTCAGTCCTCTGTCACTGGGCATTAGGTTATTACCAAGGGTTTGCTATTAAAAGCATAGCTGAAATGAACATCCTATATATGCTTTTTTTTTTTTTTGCCGGCACGCGGGCCTCTCACTGTTGTGGCCTCTCCCGTTGCGGAGCACAGGCTCCGGACGCGCAGGCTCAGCGGCCATGGCTCACGGGCCCAGCCGCTCTGCGGCATGTGGGATCTTCCCGGACCGGGGCACGAACCCGTGTCCCCTGCATCGGCAGGCGGACTCTCAACCACTGTGCCACCAGGGAAGCCCCTATATATGCATTTTTTGTTTATTTATGATTTCCTCAGGGTAAAAGTCTAAAAATGAGACTAGTTAGTGCAAGGAAATTTACACTTCTAATGCTTTTGCTATACACTTTTTTTTTTTTTTTGGCTGTGCCTCATAGCTTGTGGGACTTTAGTTCCCTGACCAGGGACTGAACCCGGGCCATGGCAGTGAAAGCGCCGACTCCTAACCACTGGACTGCCAAGGAATTCCTACACATTTCTGAATGCAAATATATACATTTAAGTAATAGCATTCTCTGGTATTTGTAAAGCCTCCCTGGAGATTTTCAGTCAGCTTTCAACTTTGCTCCTTAAGTCAGGAGGGAGGTGAGGGGGGGACCTGAAGCGTGTGAATGTTCATGACTGGCACATCCACAGTGGACACCACAGGCAGGAAAGTCCCTAGGAGCCCTGTTCCCAGGAGTGGTTGCTGTTCCCCAAGCTCAGTCTGCACGAGATGGCCATCTGCAAGCAGACAGTTTCCATTTCTCTAGTTTTGAGTTCTGATTTTCCTTCCCATCCCGTGACCTCCTCTGCTCCTGTTAGAGCTTTCAGGGCTGGTGCGCCCTCTGCAGACATCATCACTTCTGCTCCCCAAGGTGGAAACAGCCCTGGCCCTGGGGGAAGTAGAACCAAGGTGAGAAGTTACAGGAGACTGAGCTTCCTGGGTACCTGCCCCCTCCATCCCATTGTGAGGGGCTGCAGCAAAGCTGGTTGGAGAGGGCCACTCACCCACTCGCCCACTTGCATATGCCAGCTGTGTGGCCTTGGGCAGGTCAAGTCCCTTCTGTGGTCCCATTCTTTTTCCCTGGCAGAGGAGAGGGAGGTGATCGAAAGTAATGGAGCAGAAGAACAGTGAATCCCAGGGAAAGATGGATTAGATGGGGTGGCTGAACAGGTTAAAAAAGGTGTTTACTAAAGGACCCCCAGTATTACGCACTTGTATGCCAAAGGGTGGCAGGATTACAATGTGTTTTTTTAAACATTAATTTCTTGTTTTGCTGCTCTGAATTTTCTATGTTTTCCGTAACAGTATATATCTTTTACGGTTTGTAAAAAGGCATATGAGGGGAGAAGATGAAATGGCCTCAATTCCAGTCTTTGTTCTGTGCGCAAATATTTATTGAACACTTTCCATGTGCTGAGTGCTAGTGGACAGGCCGAGATGCCCAGAGCTGGCTGGGCACTGGAGCAGCCTCAGGGAGCTTAGTGTGATCTGCAGACTCACCGGCACACAGAACTAGCAGAAGTCTGAAATGGGGGAGCCTTAACTATGCTGCTCTTGACTCTCTGGGTCTGAAAGGATGGCTTCAAGAAATCTCCACCCAAGGGACTTCCCTGGCGGTCCAGTGGTTTAGACCTCTCCTTCCGATGCAGGGGGTTTGATCCCTGGTTGGGGAGCTAAGATCCCACATGCCTCGTGGCCAAAAAGCCAAAAAAACATCAAACAGGAGCAATATTGTAACAAATTCAATAGACTTTAAAAATGGTCCACATCAAAAGAAAAAAAATCTTTAAAAAACAAAAGAACTCTCCACCCAAATGCGAAGAGTTTACTTATGGAGATTAGTTAAAAATTAACCAGGTGGTGCTGGTCGCAAACAAAGGAAACCAGGTCAGCTGGTCCGAATCGGGGAAAGCTCATTGGACAGTCATGGGCTGGCAGTTTAACCCAGCTTGTCATTCTTCAGCCAGTCAGCTGGGGCCATGCAGACCCCAACTGCATCACCACACTTGGGATACATTAGATTCCATTTAACCACCACGTCCCCATTTTCTGTTATCACCGCAAAGCAACTGTACTATGGTTTTTCTCTATATTTGTCTTTAAATCTATTCATTTATTACTGAAATAAATATATTTTAAAAGGAAATTTCATAAAGCTAAGGTAAGAAAACAGCACCACTTGCCATAAATAAAATATAATTGTAAAAGTAAGCCCAGTGAAAACCGAACAATGTTACATTATACCTTAATTCTCTCGTCTGCAGAATGCTCTCTCTTGGTCAAAATAGGAGCTTAGGGAGGCACTAAAGATAAACCAGAGGGCTTCCCTGGTGGCGCAGTGGTTGAGAGTCCGCCTGCCGATGCAGGGGACACGGGTTCGTGCCCCAGTCCGGGAAGATCCCACATGCCGCAGAGTGGCTGGGCCCATGAGCCATAGCCGCTGAGCCTGCGCATCCGGAGCCTATGCTCCGCAACGGGAGAGGCCACAACAGTGAGAGGCCCACGTACCGCAAAAAAAAAAAAAAAAAAAGATAAACCAGAACCTTTCTCCATAATTGAATCAGGAAAAGTGAAAATAATTGCAAAGGGAACATCTTTTCAGGACGCAAGCCATTGCAATGTGCTGTGATGTCCATGTCTCTTCTACCGCCAGGGCTCCCTGCTCACACAAGGGACACTGCCCTGGTGCCCACAGATCACCGCAGAGCTGACCCTGTTTCCCAACCATAGGCACTGTCCTGAGGGTCTCTGTCATGGAGGGGGAAATTTCTGCCTCAACCCCTCTTGAGTTCTTATGGCTGGACTATAATAAAATTGACACAAGACCAATTAATAGGAGAAAAAGAAACAAATCTTAATTTGTGCACATGGAGGTCTCATAGAAATAGGACCTAAGAAGTGGTCAAATCGCAGCAATATCTTTTTTGATCTACCTCCTAGAGTAATGAAAATAAAAACAAAAATAAACAAATGGACCTAATTAAACTTAAAAGCTTCTGCACAGCAAAGGAAACCATAAACAAAACAAAAAGACAACCCACAGAATGGGGAGAAAATATTTGCAAATGGAACAACTGACAAGGGATTAATCTCTAAAATATACAAACAGCTCATGCAGCTCTATGTCAAAAATACAATCAAAAAATGGGTAGGAGATCTAAATAGACATTTCTCCAAAGAAGACATACAGATGGCCAAAAGGCACAGGAAAAGATGCTCAACATCACTAATTATCAGAGAAATGCAAATCAAAACTACAATAAGGTATCACCTCACACCAGTCAGAATGGCCATCATCAAAAAGACTACAAATAACAAATGCTGGAGAGGGTGTGGAGAAAAGTGAACCCTCCTACACTGTGGGTGGGAATGTCAATTGGTACAACCACTACTGAGAACAGTATGGAGGTTCCCTAAAAAACTAAAAATAGAATTACCATATGATCCAGCAATCCCACTCCTGGGCATATACCCAAAGAAAACCATAATCCAAAAGGATACATGCACCCGTGTTCACTGCAGCTCTATTTACAACAGCCAAGACATGGAAGCAACCTAAACGTCCATTGTCAGAGGAATGCATGAAGAAGATGTGGCACATATATACAGTGGAATATTACTCAGCCATACAAAATAATGAAATAATGCCATTTGCAGCAACATGGGTGGACCTAGAGATTATCATGCTAAGTGAAGTAAGCCAGACAGAGAAAGACAAATATCATATGACATCACTCCTATGTGGAACCTAATTAAAAAAAACAAAGATACAAATGAACTTATTTACAAAACAGAAACTGACTTACAGATATTGAGAACAAACTTATGGTTACCAAAGGGGGAATGTGGGATAAATCAGGAGCTTGGGATGAACACACACACACACACACACACACACACACACACACACACACACACACACCCCTATATATAAGATAGATAACCAAGAAGGACCTACTGTACAGCACAGGGAACTCTACTCAGTATTCTGTGATAACCTATATGAGAAAAGAATCTTAAAAAGAATGAATATATGTATATGTGTGTATAGCTGAGTCACTTTGCTGTACACCTGAAACTAACACGACATTGTAAATCAACTACACTCCAATAAAATTAAAATAAAAAAAAAAGAAGTGGTCAAAGCAGGCAGCTTTTATACTTTTTAGACCAAAAAAACAATACATTTGTGAGGAATTAAGAGGACAAAGAAACTCAGGTTTTGGGTTCTCAATGAGTGAAGAATCTAAAGAGAATTGGGGCTTGGAGTAGTGAATTAAAGAAGTAAAAAGGTTTGTTCACACAGTCTTCGTGGCCTGAATTCCCTTTCTCTGGGGATAAGGGTGCTGGTCCTTCCTTCTACCTCCAGATGCAGGGAGTGCATCTTTCATTCACAGGGGAGATTTATTTCCTGCTTTCAGGGAGACTGACAGGAGGGTCAGCGTCCCTACTGCATTAGCCGTTTAAATAACTTTAATTCAAAATAATCAATATGCCATTGTGGCATATTTTGGGGTGGCCCGCCCTGAGCTTCAACACAAGCTAAAACCAGGGCTGGACTTTTGAACTCCATGTGAAGTGCCAAGCGGTTCAGTCATTCTAGATGTCAAGCAGGAAGCCTGGTTTGATCTCAGAAATCAACAGGGTGGATTAACGTGACTATCTTCCCCCTTCTTCTCCAGGATCGTGCTTAGAGGACAAGAGATTGTCACCTCTGTTGTTCCTCAATCAAACAGCATCTTTGACTTCCAGAAAGCTTACGGGTTGACTGAAGAGAAGGTACAGCTGTCGTCTTGTTTTTCTGTGCCACCGTCCTGGGAGGATGGGTTGGTGTCACCCAGTGGTGGTTCAGGTCACCAATGGAGATCTGACATTGAGCCACTGGACCTTGAGTCTCAAAGTCTATGATTCCGTGACTTGAGGACCTGCCTCAATTTCTGACTGAACTGGTGCAGGGACAATGCTCCCAGTGCACGTCCTGTTGGGTGACTTGGGGCATTTCATCCTGGGCCTCCCTCAGCTTGAATTCGTTCATCACTAAAATGAAAGTGTCTCCTAATTCCCAAATTTATCTCTTTCTCTTTACAGGCCCTGGATGTCAGCGACCACTTTCCAGTTGAATTTAAACTTCAGTCTTCAAGGGCCTTCACCAACAGCAAAGAATCTGTCTCTCCAAAGAAGAAAAAAAAGACCAGTCGCGCCTAGATACAAGGGTGCCATTTTATTCACCATTTCTTGCCTCTACATAAAGCAGCTCCAATAGGTATGAACTGTTCCCGGCACTCAGGAAACAAAACTGGCCCAACTGCGTTCATTTTTCAACTTGTATCTAATTCATCTTGAGCCAAACTGGGAAGAGTGTCTTCTATTCTCCCTCCAGAGCTCGAGCTCATACCTCCCCTGAATTACTCAAAAGGAAACTAGGGTCTTTTGCAGTCCAAAACGATGGCCTTCATGTCGGGAGCTAGAGCCCCATCAGCTGTCACTGCTCTACGTGCCGAGAGAGGCCGCAGGAAGAGGAACATCAGCTTTCCGTCTTCTTGAGGGCGTCCTGTTCCATGCGAAACGACCAGAAATGCCAAGAACACCAAGGCCCCAACTGTAGCCCATGATTTGGGCAATGAACTGCTTCAGGATATGGCCCTCCTGTCTAAGGTCAGGCCACAATCATATCTTGCAGGGATGAAGGGTGAAGCCCATTCCCACTGGTCTCCCTGCCTCCAAATAGTCCTCCAACTCAGCCAGCCCAGTAACCACCAGTGTCATCCTTTGAAATTCCAATCTGACCACAGCACCCCCTCTTTCCCACCCCCTGCTTTAAAAGCCCCTGAAGGAGCTCCCATCACCACCTGGAGAGAGCCCAGGGCATTTGGACACCCATGAAGGTCTCTATTACCTGGCCTATCATGTCAGCCTTACCTTCGTCCCACCTTGCACTTTTGTCCAGCAGGACTGCCCCTTCCCCGCATGCCCCAAGCTCTCCCTCCTTCTGGGCTCTGGCTCAGCCCAGCTCAGAGCCTGGGCAACTAACCCCGGCCACCCCAACATATGCCATACCCCTATTATAACATTCACCACACTGCATGTCACCAAGGCCACTATTTGGGCTCTTTGGGGGACCTGGTGGGACAAAGGCCCAGTGGGCTGGGAGGGACTGGAGGATTTTGTTATCTTTCTGCAACTAAAGACTGGCAGAGGAGTCCGGCAGCGAGGCACCATTTTACCTATATCCACGGTGACCATTTTTTTGGTTTGTTTTGCTTTGTTTTCCCTTATATTGTTTCTCTGTCCAAGTAGGACATGAACAGGGCTAAATCTGCAAGCAGTACCAAGGAATAAGCAAAGAGAAGGAACGCTGTGCCTTGGCCCCCCTGGTGTCCTGTCTCAGAAGCAGCCCCTCCTACCAGCTTACGCATTCCACCAGAGAGTCTGCATAAATAAGCACCGTGTGTAACTTTGAGAAATACAGAGTATAGCATTCTATACACGTGGTCCCTCTCTGCTGATTTTCCTAAATATATCCAGGACGATGTGACTTTCGATATAAGAAAACGAGACGGTAAGCCTGATTTTTTTTCTATAAATTTATTTATTTGTTTGTTTGTTTTTTGGCTGTGTTGGGTCTTCGTTGCTGTGCGCGGGCTTTCTCTAGTTGTGGCGAGCGGGGCTACTCTTCATTGCGGTATGCGGGCTTCTCATTGTGGGGGTTTCTCTTGTGGACCATGGGCTCTAGGCACGTGGGCTCAGTAGTTGTGGCTCACGGGCTCTAGAGCACAGGCTCAGTAGTTGTGGCGCACGGGCTTAGTTGCTCCACGGCATGTGGGATCTTCCCGGACCAGGGCTCGAACCCATGTCCCCTGCATTGGCAGGAGGATTCTTAACCACTGTGCCACCAGGGAAGCCCAGAGGCTGTATTTTTATTAACAGGACTTGCTTCATTGAAGGGTAGGCCAGGCAAGCCTTTGGGTACATATGGCTCTCACTTAATTATTTAGAATGAATTTCTGCCATACAAGGAATCAGGCGAAGTTTCCATTTCTTTCTTTCTTTTCTTGGTCATGCCAGGTGGCTTGCAGGATCTTAGTTCTCCGACCAGAGATTGAACCTGGGCCCTGGGCAGTGTAAGTTTGAAGTCCTAACCACTGAACCGCCAGGGAATTCCCTTTTTTTTTCTTTAATAAATTTATTTATTTATTTTTGGCTGTGCTGGGTCTTTGTTGCTGCACGCAGGCTTTCTCTAGCTGCAGAGAGCAGGGGCTACTCTTCGTTGTGGTGCGCGGGCTTCACATTGCGGGGGCTTCTCTTGCTGCGGAGCATGGGCTCTAGGTGCACGGGTTTCCGTAGTTGTGGCGCACGGGCTTAGCTGCTTCGTGGCATGTGGGATCTTCCCAGACCAGGGCTCGAACCCGTGTCCCCTGCATTGGCAGGCGGATTCTTAACCACTGTGTCACCAGGGAGGTCTTCCATTTCTTTATCATTCAACACAGCAAGTATTTTGGCAAGTCTTGAGAAATGGAGATGCCTCTATTTCCAGTCTTTGCTATTTTCTCGTCTTCATCAACATTCCTTTCCTGCCTCAAACAAACATGCCCCCCAGTGCCCTTCATCCTGTCCCTGTGAATCAGTGGCGCGGGTGGGAAGGAGAGAAGGGAGCTTCTCCAGGTCAGCGACCCTGGCTCCCATCTCTCCCTCGGACTGAAGAAGGCAAGTATAAAGGGCAGTTGCCAAACCGGGAGAGGAAAGAGTGACAAACTGGGGGCCACATCCCTCTTCCCTCCCAGAAGGAGAAAAAGCACCCAGCCCAGGGATGTGTGGGTGAGAGAGGGTCACACCTGTGTCAGCCACCTAGGACCCCTATCGGGGCTTCCACCCAAATAGTCCTGAAGGCAGAGGCCACACTGAGGAGCCATTATTCCACATCACTAACCCACAGGTCACATCTTGAAGGAGGAGTGGGTAACCGCGGTCCCACAGGATGCTGGTAGCAGTGTGTTCAAGCTTTAGGATTCAGGGAAACTACTGAAATTAAGTAAATCTAAAGGAATTTCAAGGAAACAAGGATGCGCACACATACACACTCGATCCTTCTGGGAAAATGGGCTGGGAAACAGTGAGGGCTCTGCATGCAACACTAGCTGAATGACTGCTTGGTTCCCCAGGCTTCATGGGGCCAAGGGCAAAGGGGGCGGCCCTAGTCCAAGCCACTGACTCTTGTTTGATGACATCACAGCCTCCTTACTGGTCCCACCACCTCCCACTACAATCTGCTCTCCTCCCACAAGCAGGGTGTGCTCCCTAAAATGCAAATCTCATCCTATCTCTCCCCTGCCTTAAACCCTCAATGGCTCCCCATTTCTCTCCGGATAAAGACCCAAGTCCTCATCATGGTCCACAAAGCTCTGTGGTTCTTGGCTTTCACTTACCTTTCCAGCTCCATTTTCAACCATGTACATTCTGTAGCCACATCACTTTGTTCCTCTGTTCTTCAGGCTCTCCCCAGCCTCTGGGCCTCTTCACGTGCTGTTTCCCTCCTCCTGCATCACTCTTCTGCCCCTTTAGTTAGCAAACTTCTCATTCCTCGAAACTCAACTTAAAACTCACTAAATCAGAGAGGCCTCCCCTGATCAGCTCTCCCCAGTCTACTCTGGGACCCTCATTTACATCTTCCCACAGTGCCCTGTGTGTCCCCTTCCTAACCCTCATCACATGTGTAATCACCTGTCCAATGTCTGTTTCCCATCCCCAACCTACTACCTCTATGAGAGCAGAGCTATGTCTTCTTAGTCACTGCTCAATAAATTTTTGTCAGGTTAATTAAACTCAGGGGGCACAACTGTGCCATCTTGGAGTAAAAAGCAATAGCCTTTACACAGTTATCCTTTAAAAAAATTATTTTGAGTAAAAGATAGTAAACATTGGGTAGTAGAATTGTTGTAATTTTTCTTTTAGAAATCCTTCCGGATGGAAATACCTAATTTGCAAAGTCAGGGAATGATTTTTGCTGGTTCAAACTGGGGATTTAAAAAAATAACAGTACCCTCTAGTGTACTGTAGTTTCTCAAAGAACACCTGAAGGATATAAACTAGAATGGCAGGAATTCCCAGGTGGTCCAATGGTTAGGACTCTGTGCTTCCACTACCACGGCCCTGCGGCCGAACTAAGAACACGCAAGCCTGCGTGGCGTGGCCAAAAAAGTAATAAAATAAAATAGGGGGACTTCCCTGGTGGTGCAGTGGTTAAGAATCCGCCTGCTAATGCAGGGGACACGGGTTCGAGCCCTAGTCCAGGGAGATCCCACATCCCATGGAGCAACAAAGCCCGTGCGCCACAACTACTGAGCCTGTGCTCTAGAGTCCCCGAGCCTCAACTACTGAACCCGCGTGCCACAACCACTGAAGCCCGTGCACCTAGAGCCCGTGGTCAGCAACAAGAAGCCACCGCAATGAGAAGCCTGCGCACCACAACCAAGAGTAGCCCCCGCTCGCCGCAACTAGAGAAAGCCTGCGCGCAGAAATGAAGACCCAATGCAGTCAAAAAACAAACAAAAAACTAAACTTAAAACAGGAAGGGCTTCCCTGGTGGTGCAGTGGTTAAGAATCCGCCTGCCAGTGCAGGGGACATGGGTTTGAGCCGTGGTCCGGGAAGATCCCACGTGCCGTGGAGCAACTAAGCCCGTGCACCACAACTACTGAGCCTGCATGCCACAAATACTGAGCCTGCACTCTAGAGCCCACGTGCCACAACTACTGAAGCCTGTGCACCTAGAGCCCGATCTCCGCAACAAGAGGAGCCACCGCAATGAGAAGCCCACACACCACAACAGAGTAGCCCCCGCTTGCCACGACTAGAGAAAGCCCGCACAAAGCAACACGCAGCAAAAAATAAACAAACAAACAAATGAATAAAAAATAAAACAGGATGGCACCAGAGACACAAGAACTAAAACCTTAAAATCCAGCTAAAGGTAAACCTCACTGTGGCTCCTTGAACTTGCCCTCCACCCTCCTACCTCAGGTATTTGCAGTGCGGTGCCTTCTGCCTAAACTGCCCTCCCCTCTTTGCCCCTCTAACCTGTGAACACATTGTCCCTCTCTTTGTGGGTCTAGGGCTAACACAGCCTCCAAAACTCCATGCAAACGTTCCTTCTCTAAGATGAACGCTCCGGTTTCTCTCGCCTACACGCACACGCACGCATGCCCACCCCTTACCCGAGGGTCAGCCCACCTGGCGTATAGTCCCCAGCTGTCCCAGGTTTCCACTGATTGTTAACAAGCCCGTGTTCCTACCTCCTATGAGTTCCCTGACGGCAGGAGAAAATGTGTTAATTTGCAAAAAGTCCTTCTGCTGACCGTCTCTTCTCTAGGAAACTCTTTTACTTTCCCCATCAAATACCCTGGAAGTTTTATTTTATTTTTCCAACTTACTTATTTTCAGATTCCTGCTTGAGTTACTTTAATAGTTTCATAGAGGTTAAGCTGAAGATGACTTTAAAGATGGTAGTAATAATAACAATGACAGCAGCTGCCATTTGCTAAAGCTTGCTCTGGGCCAGGCTGTGTTTTAAGAAGGAATGGTATACACTATCTACTAAATACCAACAATAGCACTAAAAAGGTGGGCTCTGTTGTCATCTCCATTTTAGAAATGAGGGAACTCAGGCCCAGAGAAGTTAAACAACTTGCCCATGGTCACACAGCTTGTGAGTAGTGGAGGTGGCACCTCGCTCCATGAGGCAGAGTAGGCGCAGGGCCTAGGGCCACAACACTTTTAGGGGCCACGGAAATGTTTTAATTTCTTTCAGGATAAGAAGGAAAAAAAATAAAAATTTAGGTTGAAGACAAAGTTTTAGTATACAATATTAACATAACTGTCTTTATACCAGTGTTGTTGTAAAATATAATTTTTACTATTTTTTTATGGAAGAAGGGATTCGTGAAGGCAAAAGTGCACTAGGACCCACAAAAGTCATAATGTGGCCCTGGTGGAGTCAGAAGTCAAATCAAGTCAGTATGCCCCCAAAGTTAATGTTTTCACTAGTCTAGTGTAACCCCATATTACAGGTGAGGAAATTGAGATCCAAGGCCACACAACAAATGCATGGCAGAGCCAAGCCGAAAATGCAGGTTTCCAGTGGTCCAACCATGGTACCCTGTGGTCCAACACCACCACCTAGTGGTCTTGCCGGGAACTTCGCTTTAGTCAAAGGATGAACCTAGAGAGAGGGCACAGGTCCAGATATCCCAAGGAAGCAGCTACCCGCCTGCCCTTGGACTCCATACTTAGCAGTGGGGAAGCCAGGCCAGGGCACCAACTCCACATGCTCTCTTTAGGTTGTCATCAGAATTCACACATCCCCCCTACACACACACACACACACACAAAGGCACCCCTCTCCCAGGGCAACAGAGCTATCCCTCCGAGTTAGGTTGTAACTAGGTTGTAAAACACCTAGATTGGCCCTGTGCAATAGGAATAGCATGTGAGCCAATTTGTAATTTGAAATTTTCTAGTAGCCACATTAAAAAAGCTAAACGAGGGAATCTCCTGGCAGTCCAGTGGTTAGGACTTGACGGTTTCACTGCCGTGGCCCACGTTCAGCAAGCCGTGCGGCACGGCCAAAAAAATAATTAATTAATTAAAAAGCAACAAGTAAAACTAATTTTAATAATGTATTTTATTTAACATAGGGCGTCAGCACACTACAGGCAATGGGTCAAATCTAGCCCACCACCTGTGGGGTTTTTTTTGTTTTTTTTTTTGCGGTACACGGGCCTCTCACCGCTGTGACCTCTCACGCCGCGGAGCACAGGCTCCGGATGCGCAGGCCCAGCGGCCATGGCTCACAGGCCCAGCCGCTCCGCGGCACGTGGCATCCTCCTGGACCGGGGCACGAACCCGTGTCCCCTAGCATCGGCAGGCGGACTCTCAACAACTGCGCCACCAGGGAAGCCCCCACCACCTGTTTTTTTAAATGAAGTTTTATTGGAACATATCCACACCCATTTGTTTATGTACCAGCCACGGCTGCTTTTACACTGCAACAGCAGAGTTGAGTATTTGCTTATTTGAGACTGGATGGCCCACAAAGCTGAAAATACCCACTACCTAGTCCTTTACAGAGAAAGTTTGTCGATTCTTGATTTAACCCAATATATCCAAGTTTGGTCATTTCAACATGTGATTCAATATAAAAATTATTAATGAGCTATTTTACATTTTTTATTATACTAAATTTCTGAAACCCGGTGTGTCTTTTATACTTACAGCACATCTCTATTTGGATGAGACACATTTCAAATGCTCAGTGGATACATGTAGCTCATGACTATGGAACTGGACAGTGTGGGTTTAGAATAAGGCCCTGCATGTGGCAAATATCATAGAGGTGCTCACTAAATACGTAAATAAATAAATTCTGCAGAAGTATTAAGCCCTAACAACCTGGAACATCCATTGCTTGTTATGAATCAACCCTTTTCCCATGCTTCTAGAATGGTGCTAGCAATGTGCTATCATCCTTGGGAGAACTGAAAACATCATCACCCAAATCATGTTCCAAAAGACTTAATTTATTTGCAAAATCCCAGCTGTGAAAAGCTGCCCTGGTAGCAGCCTGTCCTCTTCTAAGCAGCTTTGCAGCCTTGCTGCTGATAGAGATAATCATAATAACAACTAATATAATTCACATATATAGAGCCAGCCATTTGCTAGGCATTTTCTGAGCATCGTTTCATTTAATGACAGAAATAATGGTGATTCCCTCAGGAGGCCTACCCTGACACCCCATGCTGGCTTAGGCGTCCCCTCTGCGCTCCAAAGGTGCCCGTCTTCCCCCATCACAGCCCTTCTCACTCTGTGCCATGAGCTCCAAGAAGATTTGCCCCCTCTGCCCCAGGGACCCAGCCTAGACCTGGCCCCTGGGAGCTATCAGATCAAGGTTTGTTGCATTCAGTCAAATGACCCCAAAGAACCCAGTGGGCTATCTGGTTGATTACATTCGGCAGGTATTTGTCAAGCACCTGCCTCTAGGGTGCAAGGCTGCAGTGCAAGTCCCCCAGGATCACATGCACACCAGCCTTGTTCACGCTCTCTGCCCCTTGCTCTTTCCCACTCAAGAACTTTCCCAAAGTTGATAAGGGAAACACAGGCAACTTAGTTCAATTTGCTGTTTTAAAACTACTAGCTCCTTTGTGGAGTTTCAGGCTAAGGGGAAAACTTGGAGAGACCTGGAAAGTTCCTCTGGGGGTGGTCCTCACAGAGCTGTTGGTTTGCCTCGTTCTTTCTTTGGCCAGACTGAGGGGCTGCTCTTTGAACGAGTGGAGTAGGAGGGTACCACAGTGCCCTGATTAAGCAGGGTGGGCCCGTGAGCATTTTGGTTTCACAAAGGGCTGTGCGCAGGGCTGAGACAGGCTGGGACCTGGGGCCCTTTGCTGCAGTGCTGCAGTGCTTGCACCTGGACACAACCTCTCCTCCAGCAACAAAGTACAAAGAAACTGAATGCGACTAAAATAGCTGCGTGCATGCACAGTTGGGGCAAATTCTGGGCCCAAAAGATACAAAAGACCAAAAACCCCAACTCCCACTTTTGAAGAGCCTGGAGCAAATGTAGGGTGTCAGGAGCAAAAGCAGGGTACTGCACATGCCCCCTGCACACAATAGCACCTAAGGGGTGGGCCAACCACCCCACCCCTCCCGCTCGACCCCCCGGACACACCCCTACCCTCACCCCATATAAGGAACAAGCTCGCCCCTGCCTCAGGGAGTGAGCCAGCAGGCAAGGAACATGTTGTTTGCTCTCACTCCCCCGCTGCAGCAGGTGCCCCAATAAAGCCTTGCCTGAATTTCTTGTCTGGACTCTGATCAACTTCTATCGATTAAGGGGGCCAAGAACCCTGGTTGGTAACAGGGTGAATCCTTGGGTTCCCTCCATGCCAGAGGCCTTGTAAGCAATGAGATGCTGTGTGCACCAATGCTGGGTAGGATGCCAGCCACAAACATTTGACATGTCTGGGATTCTGGGAGGGAATCCAAGGAAAGAGGAAGGTCCTTCAAGATGGCCCCAGTAACCAAGGTTTAGCTATCAGAAGGGAGGGGTTATGAGCTGAACTGTGTCCCCTCAAAAAAAATACGTTGACGTTCTAACCACCAGTACCTCAGAATGTGACCTTATTTGGAAATAGGGTTATAGTAGATGTAATTAGCTAAAATGAGGACATACTGGAGTAGGGTAAGCCCCTAATCCGATATGACTGGTGTCCTTATAAGAAGATGGCCACATAGGCTTCCCTGGTGGCACAGTGGTTAAGAATCCACCTGCCAATGCAGGGGACACGGGTTCAAGCCCTGGTCCGGGAAGATCCCACATGCCGCAGATGAACTAAGCCTGTGCGCCACAACTACTGAGCCTGTGCTCTAGAGCCCGCGAGCCACAACTACTGAGCCCACACACCATAACTACTAAAGCCCACGCACCTAGATCCCGTGCTACACAACAAGAGAAGCCACCACAATAAGAAGCCTACGCACCACAACAAAGAGCAGCCCCCGCTCGCCACAACTAGAGAAAGCCCGCGCGCAGCAATGAAGACCCAACGCAGCCAAAAATAAATAAATAAAATAAATAAATTAAAAAAAAAAAAAAAAGATGGCCACATGAAGACAGAGACACAGGGGCCATGTGATGACCAAGACAGAGACTGAGTTAGGCAGCTGCAAGCCAGGGAATGCCAAGGATTGCCAGCAAACTTCCAGGAGCCAGGAAGAGGCCAGGAAGGGTTTCCCTGCAGGTTTCAGAGGCAGCATGATTTTTAGGCTTCTAATTTTCAGACCTGTGAGACAAATTTTTGTTATTTTAAGTCACCCAGTTTGTGGTCCTTTGTTATGGGAGTCCTAGCAAACTCATACAGGAAGGGACTTGTGAGTTTAGGGTGGTGGCCAAGCTCAAATCCACCCCTAGAGCAGCCGCAGGGCACATCGGGCTCTGTGGCAGAGATGGGCTAGATGTTTGGGGACCCTTTCCCTTCTTCTTCCTGGCCACCTGGTCACATAGCACTCCCAGCCTTCTCACATCTAGAAGTCATGTGATTTGTTCTCACCAATAGGATGTGTCAGCTCCAGGCCAAGGTGGTCAAGGGTGGGCATGTTCTCTCCAGGCCCTCTGTCTCTCCTCCCTCATCCCGCAGCTGGGTGTAGAGGACTCAGGGAAGGACTCTGAGGCCCTAGGAGATGGCACAGCCACCAGATGGGAGAAGCCTGCGTCCCCAGATCAGCATGTGGCAGGTGGCCTGCTGAACACCAGATTGCACTGTGCTGTAAAAAATACATTTATTTTTTTTAGTACGTTTGAGCAACTGGGATTTAGGGGCTGTTTGTTATAGCAGTGAGGCAACCCTGACCTGTGCAGGTTCTTGGAGGTGTGAGAAACAGAAAGTAAACTTGGAAACGACTTCCTCCCTAAACTCTGGGATACCCTGGGATTGAGCAATTCTGCTATGGGTCCCTTCAACAGGATGTAGAGAGTAAGGACAGGGAGATATTCCCCTCCTCTCCCCTTAGTACCTTAAGAACTTAGAGATGCCCCTCCCCTGCCCCAGGTCTGCTGCTGGAGCACTTGGAGGTTCCATTGCTTCCCCCAGGAGAGTGACCTGTGCTGGTGATGGTGATGGCAGGGGCGAGGAGCTCTGCAAGGAGCTGAGGTCCCTGAGGGCAGACAAGAGGCAGCAGGCGGGCCCCCCTGAATCCCAGACATGTGCCCACCTTAGAGTAGGACTCGTGCCTCTCCCCGCTTGGCAGAGCTGAACAGAACGCGGGGAGGGTGGGGCTGGCAATGTCTCTGCTCTTCAGGGTCCAGACAGACCACAGGAAAAGGAAGGAGCAGCTTCTGAACCCCCAGCAAATTCACATCCGCTGGTCTGTTCGCCGTGGGACATGGAAGATGCTACTTTTGATGTAAAAGCTCTTTGTGATGGGCTGGAACCTGGCATAAGCTGGAGCCCTGGTGTCCTTCATGGATTCCCCTGCAACACAACAAGGGCCCGGTGCTGGGGCCACCACTCCTCCTGCCAGCCCACCTCTAGCCCAACACAACACAATGCCACAGCTGCTCCAGCTGCTAGAACAGTGAAATCCTTCTGCGCAGTTAGCAACAGCGCTGCCCCTTGTGCCCCTTGACTCCTACCCTAGGCCCTCCATTCCTTCTTAGGATCCAGTAACTAAAGGGTATGCCTGGCAAAGCATGGGCATCTTGAGACACTGCTTTGGCTCCATGGCCAGGACCTGCCCTGATTGGTGGCACGCAAGTTATGCTAATTGTTAACTATTTCGATCCCATCCCAACCCCAACCTCACTTACCCCTCATCACATTTCTCCCCTTGTCTAGTGATTCCCCAGCCATCCCAATGCTCCATGGTAAACACCTCCAGGGTCCTGCCCAAGGCTGAACTAGCTTCCCAAATGCCCATTGGCTGCAAATCCTCCCTGTTGAATTAATAATAATAATGATAGTACCAGTTACCATTTCTTGAGCATTTACTATGTGCCAGGCACCAGACTGGTGTTTTCTATGTGTAAAAGGCACTTGGGGCTGACCTAGCTGGGGCCCAGAAAATGCCTTCAACCCCTCTTCTGTGGATATTTGCACCCACTGGGAAGACACAGCTCCTGTCTGTATCTGTTTGGGGAGGGGAGAAGTGGTCAGCGGAAGGTTTGTCATCTGTTCCCCAACTGGCTTCTGAACCAGTTGGGTTAGGGGCATGAGGCCAGATGCTTATAGAATATTCCAGAGATTCTGGGAGCAACTGTGGGTTTAAACAGAACACTATGGGGAAAAACTGAACTTTGCCCTGAACCCAGCACTGCCCTTGTACCCAGGATGCAGCCAGAATCAGCTCCCCTGACTCCAATGCTTGGGTTGCTGGATAAAACATAGGATGCCCAATTACATTTGAATTTCAGATAAACAATGAGTAATTTTTTCAGTATACATATGTCCCATGCCACCTTTGGTACATACTTACACTAAAAGATTACTGTTTATCTGAAATGCAAATGCAACTGGGCATTCTGTATTTTAATTTGCTCCATCTGGCGACCCTATGCCTGTCAGTGGTTTCACAGGCAGTAGGTATGGACCTGTGGGCCGAGCAGGAGAGGAGGAACAGGGAAGCCCCACGTGATGCCTAAACTGAGTCTTGCGCTGTGGACACAGAGAGTCAGGCCCTTCTCAGAAGAATCCGATGGGGGAGATTCGACCTGGGACCCTGCTCAACGTCCCACCCCAGCAGGCCTTCCCTGACTACCCTGTCTACCATAGCAGCCCCTCAGCCTCCATCGCTTTCTCCTGATTTACCTCTTCTTATAGCCTTGATACTCAAGTGTGGTCCACGGACCAGCAGCATCAGCATCGTCAGGGAGCTTGTTAGAAATGCAGAATCTCACCCCGTCCCTGACATCACTGAAGGATCAGAACCTACATTTTAACGCGATCCCCAGGTAATTCCTGTGATGGTAAAGACTGAAAAGTGCAGCTCTGTAGCACGGACCACAGCCTGACACTACTTCATATATCTGTCATCGGCTCTCTGTGAGGGCCCATGTCTGTCTTGCTCTCTGCTATACACCCCAGGACAAAAAGAGGAGCACATATTAGGTGCTCAATAAACATTTGTTAATGAATGAATGAATGATGAATGAATGAATGAGTGAATGAACAAATTAACGAACCAGAATTCAAACCCAGCCTGGTAATTTCAACCTGAGTCGCTCTGTGCCTGTTGGTTCACTAACTCATTTGGGGGTAGAGCCGGGATTCAGTGGCTCCAGATCTCCCTCTACTGGCTGTTCTGAACGACAGGATTATATGCTGAATGAATGAATGTGTGTCCTACCCACCTCATGCAGCTTTCTGAGGATAACTCCTGCTCTGGGTGTTTTCCCGCCTGATTTCACCAAAACCCTGTGACAAAGGAAGGGAGGTACTCATTTGTTCCCAGTTTTCAGGTGTGGAAACTGAGGCCCAGAGAAGTTAAGTTTCTTGCTTGAGCTCACACAACATGAAAGTGGCGGAGCCAGGATTTGAACTCACAACCTCTTGATTCCAATTCAAGGCCTCATTCCCTAGTCCATACTCATTTATCCCACAGTGACTGAGTGCCAGCCCCAACCTGGGAGCTGGGAGGGCGTTAATAAAATTAACTAAGAAGCCCTGGAAGCCCAAGGCCTCACCAGGCCAGATGGATCCTCAAGGAGTGGTGATAGTGCTGTGCAGACTCAAAAATTGCAGGAGCACAAAGGTGGGCTCAACTAATCTCCTGGAGGACTCTTGGGAGACTTCCCAGAGGAGGTGACATCTGAAAAGTTAGCCAGCAGAAGATGGGGCAGGAGGAACATTCTAGGTGGAAAGACCAGAAAGTGCAAAGGCCTGGAGTCCTGCTCAGAGAATAGTGAGCCAGAGGAATATGATGAGGGACGAGGCTGGGCCTGCCTGCAAAGGCCTGGAATGGCAAGAGGGTGGTGGCCCTTACCCACATGCCAGCTGTACTCCCAGGATGGAAACTTCTCCTCCGGCTTCTGCCAATGCCGATCCCGGAGGTAGGAGGCCTGGCCTTGGCCGTCGAGGGAGATGCCTTGGAAGAGCAGCTGCAGGGTGCGGGGGGACCTGCTTCATGCCTAAGCCCCCTGGTTTGGTCTGGCCTGCTAGCCCCCGAGTTGCTCTTCGGGCCTGCCTGACTCTGTCTCCCTTGGGCGGAGGGCCCTGGACACCTACTCCCCTGGGCAGCTGATCCTGGAGCCCCCTGGTCTCTGGCCATCCAACAGGTAGCTGGTGGCCTGGGATGGCCCCACTCCCAGACTGACCTGAAGGGGGCCTTTTGGAGCCGCTTCCTGGGCAAGGGTCCCTCCTTCAGGTGCTTGTGGCCATAGCTGATGTTCCAGGCGACCTGGGCGGCAGTCTCCTTCCGGATGTGCTCCTGCCAGCAGGCTTGCTTCTGGGAGGTGAATAGATCCCTCATGGCAGTGAGGGCAGGGGGGCGGGGGAGGGAGGAAACATTCTGCCGCCTATGTTTGCACTGCTGGTGCCTCATCTCCAAGGATACGTGCAGCCAATGAGGGCTGGGTTGCCAAGGCCCTGCCGGAGAGGAGAGGCTGGGCTGCTCAGGGCACTGCGAGCCACACACAGGCAGTGGTTGGGACAGACCAGACTGAAAAAAGGAGCAAAGGCCACACCTACCCAGGGTGCCTGGGAGGGGGCCCTGTTCTGCCCCAGAGGAACCCAGGGCCCAGGCCTTTCCTCCTCATACCCAGAGGATCCCAGGTGGCGCACGGGGTTCCACTGCCTCTATTCCATTCAGCAAACCCCAGTGTACACCTACTGCATGCCAGGCACCCAAGGGGGTCTAAAGAGAGGTCGTCTCCACTCCAGGAAGCTCTGGTTACATGGCTGCCGGGCCAACTCCTCACACACAGCTCTGCCACTTGACAGCGGTATGGCCTCCCCTGTACAGCGAGACGATGGCGGGAACTACCCTTAGCGTTCAGAGAATGACGTTAGAACAGTGTTTAACAACTTGAGACAAACGGCACCTGGCACGGGGAGCCCTCTGTAAATGCCAGCTGATAATGAACAAGCACCTGCTGGGTGCCAGCTGCTAGGCTGCACTCCGTGTGCCTTAAGCCACCTGCCTGATCACTGGGGCTCTCAGAGCCTCCTTTTCAGGTGGGGAAATGGAGGCCTGGAGAAATGATGTGCCCCAGGGCACACTACTGGTGTGCCCACTGTGTACCAGGCCCTGAGCTGCGGCTTCACCGAGTGACTTCACTCAACGACTAATAGGCTCTTTTTAAAAACATTTATTTATTTATTTATCTATCTATTTATTTGGCTGTGCCAGGTCTTAGTTGCGCCATGTGGGATCTAGTTCCCTGACCAGGGATTGAACCCCGGACCCACTGGACCACCAGGGAAGTCCCACTAATAGGCTCTCTTACGTCACTTTTCCAGGTGAGAAAAGTGATGCTCAGCAACATTAAATGGTCGCACTGGGATTGATTCCAAAGCCCACATCTCTGTTACAGACTCTCCCACGGAATGTGACAAGCATCGTGAGAGGGGTGCAGGCAGGGCGGGGCAGAGGAGGACCCATCAGTCACCTCAACAGCACCATGAAGTCAGCCTTCTGGATCCTCACACCCTCTGCCTTCTTGACCAGGACCCTCTGGGTGAGTACCAGTGAGAAAGAGGTTACCCACAATGCCCTGGGGCCACTTGCCTTTCCACTCTGCTGGGTATGCTCTTGTTTATTCATTCAACAAACATTCACTTGCTCTTGACCCTGTGCCAGACACACAGCCAGGTACTAAAGGGAGATGAGAAGGGACAGAGCCCACAGGCTTCCTGCCCTCAAGGTTTCTCAGTACAGGAGAGACAGATGCCTAACCAGGTGGATAGAGGGGCAGGCAGGGAATTTGGGGGATGGTCTGGGAAGTCTTCCTGGAGGAGGTGTCCTTTGATTAAGAACTGAACCATAAACACTGGTTCATGGCAACTCTCTTGCTGCAAGGTAGGTTGGGTAAGGACGGAGGGAGGAAAGTCAAGAGTTAGGGGGCTGGGGGTGGCAAGACCCTGGGGTGAAACGGTAGTGGGGTCTGGTGCCAGAACTCAAGAAAGCCTCCCTGGCCCAGACCGCCCCCACCCACAGACTGGTAAGCCCAGGTGTTCAGAGCACAAAGAGGGCAGAGGTGGGTGTCCCCCTCCTTGGGGCTTCGGAGACCCTGTGCCTTCCCCACCACCCAGGCTGCCCACGGTGCTTCAGTTTAAGGATCCAAGGCGGCCCCTGGTGGTCACTGCAGTGACAACAGCCCAGGCGGCTATCCTCCTGCCCAGTGGACAGGCTACCCCCGAAGGGAGGGGAGTGGGAGGGTGCAGAGAGGCAACCCCTGAAATGTTGCCTTCCAGTTGGCACAAGGACAGCCAACCGCCCACAAGGAGAGCCGCCTTCAGATTCTGTTCCCTTGTCTGCGGGCGCCCACCCTGTGCCAGGCCCTTGTGAGCAGCTTCAGGACCCCAGGTTTTAATTCAGGTTTCCCAGGTTTTAACACAACTTGATCATCGCTGCCCTCTCTGAGCCCTGGCAAACTCCCCTGTAAAAATTTGGGGATAATCTTAAGAGTCAGTGCCTCATTGTTACTTAGGACATTTGTCTTACTGTAGGTTTAAAAACTCATTTAAAAGCCACCAACAACCCCTGGGAAGGTGTGGAGGCAGCCCCCAGGTCTGTCTCTGGCCTAGGCCTGCGCTAGGGGAAAAGAGGTCACTGCAGCTCAGAAACAAGGGGAGGCCAGGAGTCGAGGAGGGGCACAGGTGCCTCCCAGCTTTCTGGCCACGCTCCCGGGCCACCAAGGACCCACTCTATCCATTTCCACCGATGATGCCCAACCCTAATCCCCAGCCTGGGGCTCTGTCCAAGACAAGGGCCTTTCCTAGGACTCAGTACTTGTGTCTTTAAAGTAGCCCCTCCTGGAATTAAGCTCTCAGAGCACTTTACACAAGTAATAGTAATTCTGTGAGCCCTTACCGTGTACTGGATACAGTGATATTCTTTCTGTGCGTTTTGTTGGTTAATCCTAAGAGCACTGTATGGGGCAGGTCCCATTACCCTGTTTCACTGAAGAAAAAATGGAGGCACTGTTTTCTGTGAGGGTAAACGATCAGCCGGAGGTCACAGCAGGACCAGGATTTGAACCCGCTGGCCTGTGCTAAAAACCACCACGCTAAACGGCTTCCCTACAAACTACGCTTCCTTTTGTGAGGTATCCCTTCCACTCTGACTTGGGGAGCTGAGTCTCCCCAAAACTCAGGCATCCCCTCCCCCAGCAGCTCTGGGTGAAGGAAGGTTTGCCCAAGTCAGTTGGGAGATGGATGTGTTGTGGGATCTTTCTAGAGGTTAATCTTAGAATGGCTTTTCCCATTATCTTCCCATTTTATGGATAAAGCCACTGAGGCACAGAGACGATAACTGCGTGAGTTGTCAGCTGAGACTGGAATCCAGACTTGCACCTGCAGCATCTGACCTGCTGCTTTCTGAGCGTTTCGCACACATTAGGTTCTTTTGCTGCTACTAGTGGGGCCTGAAGCAGGCATTTCCGGGGCTCGGTGCCTCTGCCAGGACTTGCCTCTCCTCTGAGATCATCCCACCAGCGTTCAGCATCAGCTTTGCCTTAAGAATGTCCACACTGACAGGGAGGGGTGTCCTGGTGGCTAGGGAAGGCGGTGGTCACGGCAGAGGGAGCAAAGTGGGCAATAAAAGGCCTGCGGGATTCTTTCATCTTTGAGCTTTGTCCTGGGGAGATAAGCAGGGCCGTTGGATGCGAGCCACGAATCAGGCTCGTAAACTCCCCATCTCCTGCCAGCCTGCTTTAGCGGAGAACTCTAGCGGAAGAAGGAAGGGGTGTGGGGTAGGCCACCCTAAATTCCTTGCACATGAGCCGGTCCCCTGTGGGCTCAGGGGCCCAGACAAAAGCCTTATCACAAAGCAAAAAGGATCCCTTTGTTTAGAAAGATTCCTCCCACCATGTTTTTGGGCAGCATCCTGAGACCAAAGCCAGAGAGAAAAAAATCAGATTCAGGCTTGCCTTGAGCGATGTGACATTTTCACTCCCTCTTGGAGTTATGAGTTGCTATTGTGAGGAAAAGAAAAAAATTAGCTAAACAAGCTGTTTCTGGGAGAGTTTTCATTAGTTGAAATACTCTGATTACAAAGCCCCTTCCCCCCACAAGTTAATGGAGACTTGGAAAGATTTCATTCCTTTGGCTGAGCACTAAGGCCAAAGGGCACTTAAATTAACGATCTTGCTCCCCATTTTAAAATACAAACTGGACTCCCCTGGTGGCACAGTGGTTAAGAATTCACCTGCCAACACAGGGAACGAGGGTTCAAGCCCTGGTCCGGGAAGATCCCACATGCCACAGAGCAACTAAGCCCGTGCGCCACAACTACTAAGCCTGTGCTCTAGAGCCCACGAGCCACAACTACTGAAGCCCACATGCCTAGAGCCTGTCCTCCGCAACAAGAGAAGCCACCGCAATGAGAAGCCCGTGCACCGCAACAAAGAGTAGTAGCCCCCACTCGCCGCAACTAGAGGAAGCCCGCGCAGAGCAACGAAGATCCAATGCAGCCAAAAATAATCTAAGAAAAAACAAACTTGGGGGGTTGACAAGGATTGAGCACTCATTTTGCCACTAACCTTTACTCTGCTAACTTTTTAAAATTAATTAATTAATTAATTTTGGGCTGTGTTGGGTCTTCGTTTCTGTGCGAGGGCTTTCTCTAGTTGCAGCAAGCGGGGGGCCACTCTTCATCGCGGTACGCGGGCCTATCACTGTCGTGGCCTCTTTTGTTGCGGAGCACAGGCTCCAGACGCACAGGCTCAGTAGTTGTGGCTCACGGGCCTAGTTGCTCCGCGGCATGTGGGATCTTCCCAGACCAGGGCTCGAACCCGCGTCCCCTGCATCGGCAGGCGGACTCTCAACCACTGCGCCACCAGGGAAGCTGATACTCTGCTAACTTTTAAGGCTGTGCAATTTTCAAGGCAAATTAAATCCCTATGTGCCCAACTCATTTTGCACCAAACTCATCAAAATGTGGCTTTCAAGGCCCCTTTGAAGTCTTAAGACTAGACACATGGTCAAGGGCCCACGTGTTTACAAACGCACTGGAAACAAAGGGAAACGTTAATAAACTGTTTCCTTCTTGGCAGCACTGCTGATGAGTGCTTCACGGGGTTGCAGAGGGAAACTGGATGAGGAAGAGGAGGGCGTCTGGGCTTGGAAGGGGCCAGGCCTCCTCTGGCTTGGGGATCTCTGCAGGGCAGGTGGCAGCTGCTGTCTGCCTAATCTCCACCAGCCACCAAAAGAGCGATCGTCCAGCCAACCCTTGGTAGGAAAGCGGCAAAGTCAGCCAGTGAAAGTCAGAAAGGGCCTGGCACCGCTGGTCCAGGGTCAAGTTTCAGTTTTCAATGTGTCTGCACAAACAACAGCCGGTTCCCACAGCAGGAAGTCCAGGTGCAGATAACGGTTGCCCTGTGGTTCTAGCCACTGACCAGTAGAGAGACGCACAAATTTCACTCTGAGACGTCTTTGACGTACCCGTCGGGGGAAAACCAGGTGCAGCCCCAGGTGCTAACAAGCGGCCCGTGGAGGAGGCACATCACCTGGCGGGGTTTAATCATAGAGAGCAGCGGCCAACACTCTCACAGCTCCCAGTGGGATTTCATCTGACCCTCACAACCACCCCAAGGGGGGCACAATCTGAGAGGTGAAGCAAACTCCTCAAGGCCACACAGCCAGTGAGCACCCGAGCCAGGACTTAAGCCCTAGACTACCTGATGCCAAAGTCCAGCTGTTAACTTACAAATGCGGTCTCCCCAGAAACCACCTGGCTTCAAGCTGGGCCCCTGTTTTCTTCTTTGGGCAAACTCAGCCGACTGTTGCCTCTCCAGACCCACTGGGCAGAGCCTGCATTCTCCAAAGCCCACGGGCCTCCTGCGGTCCAGGACCAGACATTCACGGTGCAGGCCAACAGATAAGGGTGCTCCCTTCAGAAGGATGGGCAGGAGGAACCTCCTTTTCTCCAACCCTCCTCCCACCTCTCAGAGGGACACAAATTGCCATCCTTGATCAACAGCCAGGTGTCAGGAAGAAACACACAGAAAGATCTAGAGTCTTCCTTCCCTGCCCTTCCGTCCACCGCTCAGCCCCAATACAAGGCTGGGGGTCCAGAACAGACTTCCCATCATCATGGCAACTGTCAGAGGCTTGCCTGGGGGGGCGGCTCCTGGGTCCCCTTCCTTTTGTACTCCTGCTCCCACGGTGGGATAAGCAGGGAGGCAGAGCTTCCACTCTGGGGACAAAAAGGCAGGGGGCCCAGGGTCTGCCCCAAGTGAGCTTTGGGACTGCAAACATGTCAACGCAGCACCTGAGTTAGTGTCGTCACCATAAAATCATGTCACAGCACTGCCGTAGGGCAAGAGGAGGCAAGGGGTAAGTGTGTCCTAAGCACACAGCAAGGAGAAGCTTCCCGAACAGAAAGGAGGAACAGAGGCAGAGAGGATGGAGGGAAGGCGGCACCACCAATTCCAAACCCTGCTGTCCAAGGGCGATGGGATGACAGGTGATACTGCTTCCCTATTTCAAGGGTTTCCCAGGTCATCAGGAAAAAGACTCTCTCTCTTACCTTTTTTTTTTTTTTTAAAACCATAGCCTTCCCCTCAGTGGGTTTCATATCTGGGACTCTTAACCAGGGCAAACCCTAGCAAACCTCTCCGGGAGGCTGTGTTGGTGCCAGGACCCCTCACCCTGATAAATTCACACTGAGGCCTGCGGAGAAACAGAACGTCCCCCCGCAAAAAAGAGGCGAGGCTCCCTGTTAAGATAAGTTGCTTAGCCTGCGTTCTTTCGGCCAGGGTTTGGGAGAGCCGGTCAGAGACGCAAACCATTTACCAAAGGACACCATCCAAGAACACCTGGGGAGCTTATGGAGCAAACGCTGTATTTAATAAGTTATAAGATACAATTTACAGTTGGCATTTGGTTCCAGTTTTGCTTCCACATCCAGGTTTACGAAGCCTGTGGTCCTTTCACATCAGGCTTCGGGCCACTCCAGTTCCTAACAGGTGGGCTTTGCCAACACTCACCCTCAGCTGCTACACCTCGGGGAGGGTCACCCACCTCACCCTGTCCCATCCATGGACACACTCGAGATGACAGTGGCCACCTCCTCAGGACGAAACAGCAAATCTGAAAGGGCTGACGGCCCAGACCACACTACACATCTGGGCCCTGCGGTCAGGCAGTCCCCGAGTGCTTTCACTTTATTCCAAAGCAGGTCTGCAAGAAGGCATGCAAAATGCCTGATACCCCCCATTTTCGGAATTTTGCACCTGCTTACTATTGCTTTCCAAAGAGCCTCGGGTGACATGTGGTCAGGGCCAAATATGCTTTCATTATTTCTGCAAATGGTAAAGGACCACCAATGAGCTGCTGTCCTTCCCTCCCCTGTTATTCCCTGACTTTCAGGCCAAAGGTTGGCAGGAGTTTCCTTCTATAATTATCTTCCAGAAAAAGTTCACGCTGGGGCTGCCTGGGGGTGAGTGTGGAGTGTTATGTCACGTGACAGGCCTCTGCTAACACCTGGACCCACCTGCGGTGTCTCTGGACATGCTGGTGAGACTCATCAAACAGACAAATGGCTGGAGCGTATGTTAAGAACAGGGCTAGTGTTGGTTAAAAAAAGGGGGATCTTTGGCAAGTGGGGGGGCTGCTTGCCACTGCAGAATTTCCTCAGACCCAGCGACTGAAACGGACTTTGAAAACAAAAGCAAAGACATGGCTGCCAAGATGGTCACATGCAATGACTCTGCAGCGAAATAAGTAGCAGGATGAGGGGAGAGGCACCAAGAAGCCATTTCGGCCAGTCTGTCACCTCGGACACTCTGCCCGAGATGGGGGCGGGGTGGCAGTAGTGTTAAAACTGGTGTCACCCAATGGCCTTTTCTTACGTGATAGGGTCATCTTCTTTTCTAAACGACAACATAAACTAGGCGTCCCCATTTTCCCTGCCCTTCCTCCCAGTCTTGTTTTGCAAACTGACTAGCCAACTTCATGTCTTAAAAATATCAGCCTTGTCTGTCCTTGTTCTGTCTGCAGGGGGTGATCTGTGCCAAAAGAGGTCCAGTTTGCCGGGCCTATTGAACAAATTTGCATTTCCTGAGTCCCCAACGTGACCCTGAAGAGTCAAGTTTAGGACTTCTTTCTGAAGGTACTTAAAAAAACATGGCAATGTTTTTGGGATGGGGTTTCAGACCCACAAACGGGCTGGAGGACTTTGTATAAAACGAGTTACAAACAAGCAACAAAAGCAACCACCAGAACGCCTCCCAGGACTTGATGAGAACTGTTTTAAGGCACCGTGACATGGAAGGGGCTGCCAGGGATGTGCTCCTCTCCCCACTTCACGGCCAGAACGTAATCCCCCTTCTCCTTGACGATGTAGGTCACACTGTATTGTTGGTTGCCCACATGCTTCATGGAGACTTCTTCACAGGGGGTGGTGGGCCCGTGGACCCCGATCAGCAGCATGTTGGAACCTGGGAGGCAGAGGAAGGTGGTTACTCCATGAAGATGCATCCCAGAAGGCAGAGGGAGAGGGGGGGATGTGGGAGCCAAAGGAAAGATACCAGTTACTGCCTGTTAAGCTTCTCTGATGATGCTGGGGACCTGTGAGAGGTGGGAGAGTGCAGCAATTACGAGCAGGACTCTTATGGGTTCAAATCTCTGCCCTGCCACTTCCTGGGTGGGTGACCTTGGACATGGAACTTCCCCTCTCTCTGCCTTAGCTTCCCCATCTGTAAACAGGGGATGACACTAGCACCTACCTCATGGGCTTCTTGTGAGGTTTAGAGGAGTTATTGTATGTGAAGCCCTCAGCACACAGTAAAGGCTATGTAAGTGTTGGCTACTCTGATCTCATTTATTCTCATGAGAACCTTCAGGAAGGTCCTATGACTATTCCCATTTTAGAGCAGAGGAAACTGACTTTTAGAAAGAGATTTAGTAAGTTTCCCATGGTCACTCGGCTAATAAGCTTTGGAAATTAAGGAAGGAAGGAAGAAAGGGAGGGAGGGAGAGAGGAAGGGAGAAATAAGTAAGTGGTGAAGCCAGGTTTCCAGCCCAGATGTGCTAGATGCCAGAACCCAGGCAACTATCATTGACACCCAAATAAATACCCAAGTTCAAATTGCAATTATAGCAATTAGTGACAGAGGAGAGGCCAGGTTACTGAATGCAATGAGGATAACACGACCTTTCCTATGTACCTTGAGGTCATTTGGAAAAAATCAAGAGGCAAATCATTTAAAAATATTAAGTGCAG